GGTGATAATCCCTGTGAATATGTCGGTGTGTTTCCTTTCTAATTTTTTTTTTGTCCAGTGCACACCGTGAAGATATTCAGATGAGCATGTTCCAAACCCAACCTCATATCATGATCACAACTCTACATCCTGGGTTTGGGGTTTTTTTCCCCCACTTAACATAATAAGGAGAGGATTTTCTCATGTGATTTCTCCCACTGCTTCCTTCCTTACTGAAGCATTTCTCAAAGTGTGGCCAGGAATTCACCAGCATCAGGATCGTATAGGGAGTCACTTCAAAATGCACACACTCTGGACACACCCCAGTCCCATAGAATCATTGTCTGAATGTTGAACACTCTCCCCAGGTGATCTAGATGGACCATACATTTTGGAAACATCCCCCCATGCCGTGGCTCTCAACAGGACTGCATGCTGAAATGCTGGTATCCGGGCGTAACCAGATCCATAGCTGAGAAGTTTTAGAGCTGGGGCCCCAGGCATTGGTATTTTAAAAAAATTCTTTCTGGGTCATTAACATGGGTTGAGGGTTGCCGGCATCTTTCGTAATGCACATAGGTCTCTCCTGCCAAGACTGGTAACAACAAACATTCCTTATGGGGTGAAGAAACTGAAATGTTTTATCACCAGGATAAAGACCCATCTGTGACTCATGGTCTGCCATGACATAATTTGGACTTAACTTCCCGCAAAGTTTTATTTCCAAGTTTATGCTACTTGGCTGTTGGGGCCCTCCCTGTTGAGGCCCTAGTATTCGGGGCTGCAGAGAGGATGTCCAAAAGGGCGGGCTCCAGGAACCCCCCGCTCATCCTGATCTTTGAGCAGAGAAGGAAGGTCTGCCCATCCCCACTCCACTTCCTTCTCTCTTTATTGGTCTGGACTGAATTCACAAGTAACAAGGGTCTCTACGCTGAGAGATGTGAATAATGATCTTCAATCTGTTGTTTTTCCATGCCATTTGCAGCCACTGATAGAAGCTAATGAGACGCTCCCTGTACAATGCGTGTTAATGGGGGCTTTTGGAGTTGAGGATCGAATGGTGGAAGGAACAGGCATCTTGGTAGGGATGCTAGAGTGTGGGTTTGCAAGAGGTGGGTGACTCCACACCCTTATTTTCCAAGAGGAGACAAGTAAGCCTCGTAGGTTTCCTGAGCAAAGTACACTGCAGTTTAGAATTGGGTCATCTATCCCATGCTCTCTTCCTGAGCTGGGTGGGCAAAGCTTGACTTGAGGCAGAAGGCCATGAGGGGACTCCAAGGAAAGCAAAGGTAGTTTACTGACACAGAGAACGAGATTCTAGCCCAGGCTGAGTGACCCAAGTGACTCTGTGCCTTGGGACCCCCACTGATAGAGTGAGAAGAACAAAATCTAACCACTTTCTGGCTAGGTCAGTCCATGAAGGAGAAAATAGGTGAGAACAAAGGTGTGTGCCAAAAAAAGAGAGAAAAAGAAAATATTTATCACTGTGCAATTTCCATCCCCTGCCTCCGTTAGCTTACCTCACTGTCTCATAATTCTGTGGCATTGAAAGGCAACCTGAAATTCATCTGCTCCAGATGACTTCAAACTGTTTCTTTAAACAATGGAATCAACTTTCCAAAGGAAATCTAATTCAACAGCTCAAACAAATGAAAGAGATAAATGCAGACATGCTCTGGACGAAATGGGGTTTTTTGGTTCCTCAGAATCACTCCCACCATACCTCTATAGTGGGTGGCCCCAAAATGGTCTCTAAAGAACCCCTGGGGTGCCATAAAGCACAATTTGACAACCACCAATTTAGCCCAACACCTTCCCTTTTACAGATGAGGAAACTGAGGCCCAGAGAGGCAAAATTCAGGGCTAAAATCCAGATTTCTCAACCCTATGTTGAGGATTCTTTAGGGGAACAAGATGATGGCACAGCTGTTGGGTGTCTTGTCCCGACCTCTGAGAAGTCAGAGGCAGGTGAGATAGAAGCAGCTGGGGTGACTGCACGTGTGCAACTTGGTTCCTACCGATGATGGAGGGTCCCTTGGTGTGGGCAAGGCAGGGGAATTGAGCAGGGTGGAGGTTGGACTGTTCAAGAAGGTCCCCATGGCTCTGCTTGGCAGTAGTGGCAGTGAGGTCTGATTAAGAACAGGAACTATAGCTGATTCATTTTGCTGTACAGCAGAAACTAACACAACATTGTAAAGCAACTATATTCCAATAAAAATTAATTTTTTTTAAAAGAAGAAGAACAACAGGCACTCGAGAGCCAGACTGCCTGGGTCTGAGCCCAGGCTTTCTCCACCTCCCCGCTGTGTGACTTGGATACCTCACTTAACCTCTCTGTGCTTCACTTTTCTCATTTGGAAAATGGGGACAAGAATAGTCTTTAGCTTATAGTGCTGCTGGAAGGATTCATTAAGAAAATCCATGTGGGGTGCTTATCTCTGTGCCTGGCACATTGAAATTGCTCAGCAGACACTGGCTGCTGGTGTTCTGAGACTGAGGACTGGGCGCTCCTGGTTTGTGCTGCCTCCCATCATCCTATAAAAGCAATTTCTAGGGAAAAATGTGGGGAGGGTTGGGGTAGGGGAAGAGGAGGAGGAGGAAGAGAAGAGCGTGCTGCCTTTGGTTCTGCACATCCTGCCTCTCAAAGCAGCTCTGTCCAATCTGGGTCACAGCAGGCGCTAGAGCCTACAGGCTGCTTTGGGCTCCTCTGTTGAATGGAACACAGAGGGAGAAGCTGCTGTTTATAGCACAGCGAGTAGCATGCTTTGAGGGGATGGCAGGAGCGAGGAGGACCTGTGGGGAGAGTCAGCATCAGGTGGCGGCCAGCAGGTCTGCCAGGGACTTTCTGGAGCCTGTGATACCCACAGCTGATGTCCACAGCTGAGAGCCAGTGCGTGGAGGGGGTGGGCAGGGTCCGGCTCCATCTGGGTCCACTGGCTGTGGCTGGAACAGGAACAATAAGGTTCTGTTTGAGGAAAAAGCAAAGAGGTGACTTCAGGCTGGTGGGAAGGGTCGAAAACAACCCACCTGAGATCGAAGCAGGATGCCCCCACAGGTGTAGTCATTATGTGTAGCCTTGCTATTCAGAGTGTGCCCTTGGGCCAGTAGCATCGTGTGGAATCACTTGGGAGTTTTCTAGGAATGTAGCACCTCAGGCCTCACCCCAGACATGATGCTTCAGAATCTGTTTTAACAAGGTGCCAGTGTGACTTGTGTGCACATTAAGTTTGAGAAGTGCCAGTGTAATACACATGATACCTGGCTTCCAGTTTCAGCTCTGTTACTTCCTAGCTGTGTGACCTTGCACAAGTAATTTAGCTTCCTTGTGCCTCACTTGCCTTAGTTGTAAAATGGCTTCTTAATTGTGCCTGTCTCTTAGGGTTGGGTGCCAAAGCACTTCATACCATGCCAGGCCCATAATAAACACTATGTAAGTATAAGCTGCTATTGTATGTCACTTGACATTCAACTCAGCTTGCTTTTGCTGGATACAAATTTGGGAAGTGGCCTTCCTTCATTCATTCGTTTGTTCATTCATTCATTGGTTCGACCATCATGTGTGAGCACTCACTGTGGACCGTTCTGTTCCTGAGGACACAGCAGGGAACAGGACAGACAAGATCCCCAGCCCAGGGGAGCTCAGAGTCTAGGAAGGTAGCCAGGTATGGACTCACAATTAACTAATTACTTAATGTAGACAATTCCACAATTACTTACAAATGTGACAAGTGCTATGCAGAAGGGTTGCCAAAAAAGTAAATAAAATGGATGGTCGGAGAAGGCTTCTAAGAGGAGGTGATATTTTAACCGGAATATGAAGGATAAGGAGAATCTAGGCAGGAAAAGTGTGTGTGTGTCTGTGTGTGTGTGTGTGTGTGTGTGTGAGAGAGAGAGGGAGATCACAAATATGTGTAATGAGGGAATGCTGCATTCCAGGCACAAGGACCAGAATGTGCAAAAGTGCTGAGGCAATTAGGAGAACTAGAACTCAAAGAAGCCCAGTGTAACCAGAGCAGTGGTTCTTAAACTTTTGTCAGAATCCCCTGGAAGGCTTGTTTAAACAGATTGCTGCCCCACCCCCGGAGTCTCTGATTAGGGTTGTTGTGGAGTGGGGCCCAAGAATGTGCCTTTCTAACAAGTTCCCAGGTGACACTGATGCTGATGGTCTGGTCATCACACTTAGTGAACCACTGAGCTAGAACATTGAAGCAAGACCAAGAGGGCGAAGAGGTTTGGGGTTTCATCTGGGGCCAGACCACGCAAGGTCATGGAAACCTCATGGAATGAGAACCAACTAAAGGTTTTAAAGGGAAGTGGGAGTGCCATGATCAGATTTATGTTTTAGGAATATCACCAAGGCTGTGATGGGGAGAACAGACTGTAGAAGGCATGAATGAAAGCATGGAGACTAAGGGGTTAGTCATCCAGGGGAGAGATGTCAGTGGCTTGGCTGAGGTGGAGACGGAGAGAAATGGGTGGACTCCAGAAGTGTTAGAGCGTTAGACATGATAGGATTTGGTTGGGTCATTGAATGTCTGGGAGGAGGGGTTCAGGAAGACCCTCTAGGTTTCTGGTTCAAGCAAGTTAGCAGATAGTGGTGCCGTTTCCTGAGAATGGGAGCAGGTTTGCTGGGGATGAGGATGAAGAGCAGCCAGGATGAAGAGTTCAGTTGAAAGCACAAGTTTGAGACCCAAGTGAAGACGTCATACAGACAATTAGATAAACAGATCTGGGCCTCCGAAGACAGTTTCTGGAGGAGGTGACATGAGAAAAGACTAGATAAGGTTCTCAATCTGAAGTTGGTAGAATAGATGGGCTTTGGGGATGTCGGAGGGGTTCCGTGATGTTCTGAAAATATATCAGAATGTATGTGCCTTTTTCTGGGGAGGGGTCCAGTAGTCATTATCAGATACTCAAGAGTCTATGACTCAAAGAAGGTTAAGACCATCAGCCAGATAATGAGGGAGAAGCTGGTGGTCCCTGGTCCTGTGAGGTCCGTATAACCCTGACTCTGCTTCCAGGCGCCTGGTGGACCATCTGGAGAACATGAGGAAGAACGTGGCTGGGGACGGGGTGAACTGCTGCATACTGTGTGGAGAACAGCTGGGGATGCTGGGCTCTGCCTGTGTAGTGTGTGAGGACTGTAAGAAGGTACCATCGCCCTCCCCTTCCCTGCTTCCCCGCTCATCACATGCATAGGGGCTAGGCCTGGGCTCCAGCCTTTGGGGGCCTTGGGTCTTGGGGATGGAGCTTGGATCGGGAAAGGTAGTTGCCAGAATATGATTCCTTCTGGGATGCTCCCATGCCCAGCTGTATTCCGAGGTAACCCTGATCCTGGTTCCTCCCCTAGAAGTCACTCTGACCCTTCTGTCTCCTTGGAGCTCAGCTCCATCCAGGATGAACTTGGGAGACTGAAGTAGGACATGAACTATGGTTGAGCCTGCAAGTATCCTGGTTGTGTCTTAGCAAGTTATAGGTCAGGCTAAAGAGCATGCTGGGGGAATTCCCTGGCGGTCCAGTGGTTAAGACTCCACGCTTCCACTGCAGGGGGCACGGGTTCAATCCCTGGTCGGGGAACTAAGATCCTGCATGCTGCACAGTGTGGCCAAAAAAAAAAAAGCATGCTGGGCTTGTGTCTACATGGAAGACACATGTGTACATGGAAGCCCTACCCAGCATTTTCTACCCTGGGGCACAGTTCAAGCCACTTGGAAAGCCCCTCTCTAGCCAAGTTAGGCCAAGTTAGACTTTGGTCTTCTTAAGCATTCACTCTTGAAGGGGAGTCTCCCTGTGCTCTCTCCACCCTGCACCCACTCCTCAAGCTGTCTGAACTTGACAGTTCCAGGACAGAAATACAACTGTCCTTGGGTCTGTCTGATTCCCAGGAAAGGAGTTCAGGGGAGTGACCCAGCTGGAGATATCCATAATGTCACTTGGCATCTCCTACTTGGGGTACCATTTAGCATTTAGAATGGAATATTGGGGAAAGGTTATCTACTCCAAAAAACTTGCCTTCTGTAGTTGACTAGATAGTGAGAATTTTGTGACCTATTTGTTTTGACTTCCAGAAAACTCAGCCAAAAGTATAATGTTCCATCATATAGTCATGGCATTTACTCAGATAACATCTTTCTCCATAAGGAGTTGAACCTGTAGTCATAGTCTAGGGTGTCTCAGATTCATTTGGGAAAGAAAGAAGAAATAAAGTAATAAAATGGATATACAGTCTCTCATGATTAAAAAATCATGTCAGTGATCTCCCTTGTATGGATGATGAAAACTCCAACCCCACAGGGACTCTTGGAGAATCCCTTCATCCCGTGCTTGGGAATGACTCCAGTTCTTGTTATCAGAAATCAAGACTCAGATTGGAACTTTATTCTAACTGGCCTTGGTCATGGAAGGGACGTGAGGAAAGGAGAGTTCTATTGCTTTGTGTCCATCAAGGGAGAATAGGGCTTCATTGCCACCATTCCCAGCCACTTCTCCTGATCACCAGCAGCTCCAAGCCTGGCATATCTGAGTGTGCACTGGGCTATGTTTTGTCCCCAGAATGTCTGCACCAAGTGTGGGGTGGAGACCTTCAACAGCCGCCCACACCCTGTGTGGCTCTGCAAAATCTGCATCGAGCAGAGAGAGGTGAGTGGATTGGTCCCATTCAGCTCCTGGAGCATCCTCCCTCCTTTGTACGGTTCCCCCTTCCTTGCTATAACCAGGGGAGTAAGGTGGCAGTTGGGGGGCTGGGGAACCTGTTCAGGCACATGTCTTAAGGGATTGGTATAAAAGGAACCAGCTCAGCTGTGAACACTGGCAGGACACAGTATTTGAATGAATTTCTTTTCTCACCTCTCCCTTCTGTGACTTTTCCTTCTCTCCCTCCCTGCTCTCTTATTCATTGCCCTCTGACATCCATTATTCCCTACTCCCCATTTCTCATCTTCTGGGTCTTCCCCTACTGCCACCTTCTCTTTCCCTCTACTTCACTTCTTGTCTCACACTTTCCCTCATTTTCTTTTCTTTCCCTGTACAGATCTTCCTCAACTTACAATGGGGTTGCGTCCCGATAAACACATCGTTAAGTGGAAAATGCATTTAATACACCTAACCTAGTGAACGTCATAGCCTAGCCTACCTTAAATATGCCCAGGGCATTTACATTAGCCGACAGCTGGGCAAAATCATCTAAGGCAAAGCCCATTTTATAATAAGTGTTGAGTATCTCCTATAATTTATTGAATACTGTACTGAAGGTTAAAAAAAAAAAAAAAAAGAAAGAGGGGCTTCGCTGGTGGCGCAGTGGTTGAGAGTCTGCCTGCCGATGCAGGGGACGCAGGTTCGTGCCCCGGTCCGGGAAGATCCCACATGCCGTGGAGCGGCTGGGCCCGTGAGCCATGGCCGCTGAGCCTGCGCGTCCGGAGCCTGTGCTCCACAACGGGAGAGGCCACAACAGTGAGAGGCCCGCGTACCACACACACACACAAAAAGAATAGCTGCATGGGTACAGAATCATCGTCAGTGTATCAGCTGTTTCCCATTGTGATCGTGTGGCTGACTGGGAGCTGTGGCTCCCTGCCCCTGGTCAACATCACGAGACAGTATCCGATCGAGTATTGCTAGCCCGGGAAAAGATCAAAATTCAAAATTCGAAAAGGACTTCCATGGCAGTCCAGTGGTTAAGACTCCGAGCTTCCACTGCAGGGGGAGTGGGTTCGATCCCTGGTCAGGGAACTAAGATCCTGCATACTGCATGGTGTGGCAAAAAATAAAAAATAAAAATAAAAATTTGAAGTATGGTTTTTACTGAATGCATATCGATTTTGCAACACTGTAAATTCAAAAATATCATAAGAAAACCATTGTAAGTTGAGGGCCGTCTGTACTCTCCTCCTCAGAGCTCTTTTTTCCCTTTCATCCTTATCTCCTCTGCCTTTTCTTCTTTCTCTCTTTGCCTCTCACCCTTCACACTTCTTCCTCTGCACTGTCTTCACTCTATCTCTGTTTTTTTCTCTCATGGAATCTTTCTCTTACCTAGGCTTGCTTTTTATTACCCACTTTGTCCCAATTAACTCCCTTCGCCTTTTCTCAATTTCTTCATCACTCATCTTCTGCAGCAGATTCCTGCCTTGGAGACTGTTGCAAGGACCATATTTCCCTCAATATCAGTCAGGGTCCTGGGAGAACAGATGGCACAGTCCGTCAGGATTATCAAGGAGGCTTTGATAAAGGTGCTGTTTGCAAGGGTCTGGGCTTGGATAAGGAAGATCAGCGAGGCGTGGTGAAGCTCGCAGCACCAGCAATAGCAGGGTTGCTGATACCACTCCTGAGACTGAAGGAGTGGAGGAGGGAGCAGTTACCAGACTGGACACTGGGTATCAACCAGCAGGAATGTAGCCACTGCCTGCCTAGCAAGGAGGGAGCCAAGGGACTCAGTACCCTGACCTCACTATCTTCTTTCTGCCGATCCCCCACTGATGCTCTCCTTGACCAGATCCACCTGGAAGGTAGAGATCAAGAAATTCCAGTTACTGTAGTCCTTACTGGTCAGCTTCCTGGGGCACAGAGCAGGGTGAAAAAAGATGTAGAACCAATCTGAAGGGGCAACAGAAGATGTCCAACACACTGCCCCAGGTGGAACGCTAATCCACAAGGCAGGGAAGAAGGCCAGAGGTCTTGGGGAGGATGTATGTGGATCATCGTCTTTACAGCAGCCAGTGTAGTAGGGAGCACAGCACATTTAAGAGGTGGGAGACTTGGTGTCAGTCCACTCTCTGGCTGTGTAACTTTATACCTGTTCATAACCTTTCTGATATTCAACTGTTTCCATCAAGAGGTTGGTTATTCTCTATTGAGTGTTCAGGGATATTGTGTGAATCAAATAAGATTTGTGAAAGCTGTGTACTGGTGAGAAAATGCACTGCCTATTGTGTCAGTGCTCTGTGAGCAGGGAGAAAAGTGAAAAATTGGCTCTCGTGAAGGCAGGAGCAATAGGGCTTGGCTGTCGTGTCTTCATGTTCTACCTCTCCTCCCCCAGGTGTGGAAGCGCTCTGGAGCATGGTTCTTCAAGGGCTTCCCCAAACAGGTCCTCCCACAGCCTATGCCCATAAAGAAGACCAAGCCCCAGCAGCCAGCCAGTGAGCCCGCTGCTCCTGAGCAGCCCACCCCTGAGCCCAAACACCCTGCCCGGGCTCCAACTCGAGGTAGGAAAATACAGCTTCTCCTTTCAGAACCAAGGACGGGTCTTGGCTAACTGGTCTACCTGAAGGGTGCCCTGACATCATGTTTGTGTTTCTACCCAGTTGGTGGACAGCCAGCCTCTGGGCTTGGGTCTAGGTCCCCTGTGTCTCCTTCACAGCTCATCACAAACCTTTATCAAAAAGGTAGTTCAGGGAACTCTCCAGCAATGCCAGGCTGCCAAAAGACTTTGTTGTCATCCCTGATGGAGTATTGAGAGGTATAACAGAGGTGGAAATCAAAATTAGGAACTGAGAAAGACTCCCAACGTCAAAATACACGCTGGAGTCTGGGGGGCGGGGGAAAGGGGGCTTGCTGAGAAGGCCTTCTTTGCTCCTGATTAAAAATGAAAGACGAATAGCAAGGAAATTAGTAAAAGAAAATTACCACTACTCTGGACATTACCACTATTATCTAAGTATTATTATTAATTATTAAAATGATGGTAAAAAAGGGAGAGGCAAAGCAATAAAAAGAAAAAATATGACCCCAATGAAAACACATTTTAATATATTAAGGCCACTAAGACTGACCAGATAAAGCCCTTGCGATACTTTCAATTAACTAAGTGATAAAATCTGGTCTGAATGACAATTCTAGAGTTGAGCGCAGTCAGTGCTTCTAAAAGGAAGGTTATAGTTGAAGGTCTCAAAAATGGAAGTGTCCAACTATAACTTCTCAAGGTGCCCGCTACAGCGTCTGGCAGTCAAAAGGCACTCAACAAATACTTTCATCCTGGCAAGCCATCAGCAATTTCTGCTCCTTGCAGAGACTCATCAAATTGTCAACCTATACTGCATCCCTGAGAAGCCCCACGTTTCCACCTCTAGAACATCTTTCTTCCTGGTTAAACATTACTCCCTCTAGGCTGAGAAGACTGCGTAGCTTTACTGTCAAGATCTTGAACATGGGAGCCCAGGAAGACCTGAGTTTGAATTCCAGCTCTGCCACTTACAAGTCATGTGAGCTTGGATGAGTGACCTAACCTCTCTAAAACTCTTTCCTCATCTATAAAATGAGATTAATAACTCACTGGGTTATTTTGAAGATTAAATGAGATGCTACAGGCATACCTGTAGCATACTACAGGCAACAATAAAATACCATTTTATTACACTTTGTTTTATTGCACTTCATAGTCACTGCAATTTTTTATAAACTGAAGGTTTGTGGCAACCCTGCATCAAGCAAGTCTGTCGGTGCCATTTTTCCTGCTCACTTTGTCTCTCTGTGTCACATTTTGGTAATTCTCACAGTATTTCAAACTTTTTCATTATTATTATATTTGTTATGGTGATCTGTGATCGGTGATCTTCAATGTTACTATTGTAATTGTTTTGGCTTTTTTTTCACAATAAAATATTTTAAATTAAGGTATGTGCATTTTTAAGGCATAATGCTGTTTCACACTTAATAGACTACAGTACAGGGTAAACATAACTTTTATACGCAGTGGGAAAAAGTTCATGTGACTCACTTTTTTTGTGATATTCGCTTCATGGCAGTGGTTTGGAACTGAACCTACAGTATCTCCAAGGCACGCCTGTACGTGTACAGTACTTTGCAGAGTGCAGCACTTAGTAAATGTTGGCCAATAGTACATAATGTTAATCACCTATACACAGACACGCACACTCACACACATAAATGGTATGAATTAGCTTATTATATAAACTCTAGTCAAAACAAATGACTCTGAAAATATTCACCTCATTGGAAGGAAGTAACATCACCTGCATTGCATAGCAACTCCTAAACAGTTATTGGCAATAACATCTAGTGCTGGTGAATATGTGGAGAAATGATGGTATAAACTGTTGGTAAGACTATAAGTCACCTCCAGCCTCTTGAAAAGTAATATGGCAGAGGTTATTAAAATTTGAAGTGTATATACTATTTGATCCAACAGTCCCCCTCTGGGAATATATTTAACAGCAAGAAAAGTACCCATATAAAAGACATATGTATAATCGTATTTATTGCATCATTGTTTATGGTAGCAAAAATACTGGAAAAAACCAAGCGTTCATTAACGGGGTAATTGTTGAATAGATTATGGTATTTCCACACCATGGTGTATTAAGCATCTTTTAAAATTGAATGATGTAGGGACTTCCCTGGTGGTCCAGTGGTAAAGAATCCGCCTTCCAATGCAGGGAACGCAGGTTCGATCCCCAGTAGGGGAACGAAGATCCCACATGCCATGGGGCAACTAAGCCTGTGCACCACAACTACTGAGCCCATGTGCCTCAACAAGAGAACCCGTGTGCCGCAAACTACAGAGCCCATGCGCCCTGGAGCCTGCGCACCACAACTAGAGAGAGAGAACCCACATGTCGCAACTAGAGAGAAGCCCGCGTGCTGCAACGAAAGATCCCGTGTACTGCAACTAAGACCTGATGCAGCCAAAAAAAAAAAAAGAAAGAAAATAAATAAATAAATATTTTTAAAAGATTGAATGATGTAAATGTATATTGTAGATTTGGAATTATACCCATGATATGAGCTTTCAATATTCTCTTAATGAACAGTTACGGAACACCTAGTGAGTTCCAGGCTCTGTTCTATGCCCCAGGGAATCAGTGAATGGAACAGATAAGATCCATGTTCTCATGCAATTAAAATTCTAGTGGGGGAAACAGATGCTCAACAAACAGCAAATGCAAATACAACGTAATGTCAGGTAGTGATAAGTGCCAGGAAGAAAAATGAAACAGGTAGAGGGGATAGAGGCTTCATGTTGGACAGAATGGCCAGAGAAGGGCTGTCTGAGAGATGATATCTGGGGAGAAACCTGACCAAGGTGATAAAGAGGGCTCATAGAATCTTGGGAAATACCGTGTGAGAAGGGTTTGAGGTTGGAGCATGCTTGGTGAGTTCTGGGGAAATTCAAATTAAGTGAACAAAGCACATTCTAGAAACAGTACGTAGCCCATGATCCCAATTTGTTTGCAATGGAAATAATGTGAAATGTGTAGACAGGCTCTATATCAAAGGGGAAGTTGGGAAAAGAAAGTTTTAATTTTTTTTTTTAAGTTTCTTGGGAATGGTGGATGGGCCCTTTTGTGAGCTCCTTAAGTGTCAGCTCTCCAGAAAACATCAAATATTGGGGATTTGCCAAAAAGTTCATTTGGGTTTTTCCATAGGATGTTACAGAAAAACCCAGGTGAACACCTTGGCCAACCCAATACATACTCCTCATCAGCTTTCTCTCTCTCCAGGTGACTCTGATGACAGGAGGGGCCCAGGTCAGAAGACAGGTGGGTTCTGCCAACTCTGTCTTCTACTTTTGAGACAGGAGTCCTTTTCCCCATTCCTCCATTGCCTTTTCTCCCTTCAATTCATGCTTTTCCTTTCAGGCCCTGACCTGGCCTCTGCTCCTGGGCAAGGAAGCTATGGGCCTCCTGTGCGCAGGGCCTCCGAGGCACGAATGAGCTCATCTAGCCGGGACTCAGAGAGCTGGGACCAGAGCCACGGCGGAGCTGCTGGTGACCCCAGCCGGGGCTCAGCAGGTGAGAGAGATGGGCAAATCCAGACAGGCTTCCTGGATGAGGAGAATCAAAAGGAATGGGGAGAACAGTGGCTTTTTTCATTTATTCATTGGCGCTTGGTAGGCATTCAATGAACACTTGTTGAATGAGTGAGTGTGTGAGTGAGTGGATGGATGGATGGATGGATGGATGGATGGATGGATGGATGGATGGATGGGTGGATGGGTGGATGGATGGATGAACAAGGACCCAAATGAACAAGCAAACGGAAGTGCTAATGCAGGACCCTGGGACAAGAATTTGTAAGCCCCAGCCAGAGGTGGCAAAGCACTTTCTGTCATGATCATTCAAGCATCTCTCCAGTGAAAAATATTTAGATTCAGGAAAGGTGGGATCTAGCCCAGTGAGGTGAGAGAAGACAGGGTATTCTTCTAGGAATGTCATACTTTCTCAGTACCAGGAACTGCTGTGTATATCATCCCCATTTGATCCCCCAGCAGCTCTGCAGGAAGCAGTAGCATCTAATAGTCTCAGGTAGACTCTGGAGACCAAATGCCTGAGTTCAAACCCTGGCTCGGCTACTAACCAGCCAAGAGACGTTAGGTGAGCTCCTTAACCCCTCTGTGCCACAGTTTCCCCATTTGTAAAATGGAGCTAATAAAGCACTCACCTCAAAGGGTGTAGAGATGAAATAAGTTCTTATAAAAATGTTAATCAAGTGGGTAGAGTTGTTGCCTCCATGAAGCATCTGCAGTTCAGAGAGGGTAAGTGACCAGCCCAAAGACACACAGCTTATAAAAGAAAAATCTGGGATGCAAAGCTAGGTCCATGTGAAGATAAGAACAGTCTTTCAATAATTATAAAGTAATATCAACATCTGCCAGATGTTGAGTGTTTACTACATGCCAGGCACTGTTGTGAGCATTTTACACGTATTGTATTATTGTGTCTCCACCACAACCCTATGAGGTAAGTACTGTTATCCCCATTTGATGGATGAGGAGACTGAGGCCCAAAGAGGATAGGTCATTTGTGCAAGGTCACAGATGTCGGAAGCAGCGTCACAGAACCTGAGCTTTTCAACATCCATGTTGTTGCAGTGAGTTGCCCAGGGGCATCTGAGTATTGGAAAGAGAGAACACATGGAGGGGAGGAGAAGAGGGTCTGAAAGAGCTGGAAATGTCAGGGGGCTGCATCCAGTTCACACCCAGAGGACCATGCCTCATGCCGGCTGACTGGTCCCAGGCTTCTTCCTGCTTTGACTGTGTGTGAGTGTGTGTGTGCGCGATATGACAGGCTCTTTCCTTTCCCCTGCAGGTTTGAGACGGGCCAACTCAGTCCAGGCCTCTAGACCCACCCCGGCCTTGATACAGAGTCCAGCGCCCCCCCAGCCTGGGCAGCCAGGTACGTGCCACCCACCCACCCGCCCAGGCTGTCACTCAGCTGTGACCCCAATACCTCCCACCCTTGCTTGCGGAACCCGCTGGGCTTTCTGCAAAGCTGCAGCCACCACCAAACCCTAAACTCTTCGAAGACCTTTAGAATGAATAATACTCTAGGCTGGGAAGCTGGTGGGGGTGGGAGGAAGGGTAGCATCATATCTACCTAAATGCAAGAAGTGACAGTACTTCATCCCTCACTGTTTCCCACCTTCTGACATCATCACTCCAATTTCACAATTTTTACCACATGCACCTATGATCTGCCCTCTTATTTCCTTAATGTTTTCTTCAAATTGACCTCCTTTAAGAACATAATTGAGAGAAGTTATCATAAACTCAAGGAAATTTTAAGGACTTCAGACTTTAAGGAAAAGGCAACGGTTCTCAGACAGATACGTGAGATTCAGGAAGAAATGGTGGGCAAAGAGATTAGTAATGTGAGAAAATCTGAACGTATATGGCTTGTGTAAAACAATGGAAATAATTCCTAATTGGTGCAGTTAAAATCTGTTATTTTAAAAGAAACCTATAATAATGGCATAAGTGGGAAACCAGTATTCCATACCAGAAAAAGAGAGTATATTAGTTTGCTAGGGCAGCCATAACAAATATCACAAACTGGGTGGCTTAAAATAACAGAAATGTATTGTCCCACAGTTCTAGAAGCCAGAAGTCCAAAATCAAGGTATAGCCAGGGTTGGTTCCTTCCTTCCTGTCCCAGCCTCTCCTCTTGCTTCTGGGGACCTCGGGCATTCCTTGGCTTGTGGATGTGTCTTCACATCATCTTCCTTCTATGCATGGGTCCCTGTGTGTCCAGATTTCCCCTCTTTATAAGGGCATAGTCATATTGGATTAGGGCTCACCCTAATGACATCATCTTAACTTGATCACCTGCAAAGATGATCAAATATTCACATTCACAGGGACTGGGGGTTAGGACTTGAACATTTTTTTTGGAGAACACCATTCGACCTATTGTGGGGGGCTGTTATAAAAATTAATGTACTGAAAATACATTGCAGGTGCAATGACATTCTCAGTACACTGGCCTGCTGAAGGTTCGGAGCCTGAGGCCTGTCCTCTTTTGCTCAAAAGGGACATTTACAAAGGTTAGAGAAGTGTTAAAGTAGCACCTAGATGAGACTTTTCCCATGACGGGATCAGTGTGGAAAGGCAATGGGAACCCAGAATGACTTTCTCACTCTGTCATTGGATGTTATTTCATGCCCCATCCCTGTGGCTCTCCCCCACATCCCAAGCTTCGGAAATGTAGTTGTATAGAATCCTCTGGACCAGTAATGACCCCGTAATAACGGTGGACTCAAAGCCTGGACTTGCCCGTTACCTTGCAAGCGATTCTTGCTCCATTTGTTTGTCGACCTCATAACAGCCAACAAAACATGAAGAGCAGGTAATACCTGCTCATCCCCACTTCACAGAGGAGGAAGCTGAGGCCCAGAATGGAAGGATTTGGGCTTGAAGCCAGGGCTTTCCAACACCAGAATCCCCCAATGGAACTGTTCCTGCAACCCTGGGTACCTCTGCACATCACCTGCTGCCCCTGGGCCTGTGTCCACACCTGTGAAACGAGGGGGCCTCAGGGCAAATACCCAAATGATGCCGCCTTCTCTATTCCAAACTTCTTTCTCTCTTTGCCCCACTCAGGACCCCCAGGAGGCAGCAGACCCAGTCCCGGGCCAGCAGGACGTTTTTCAGATCAGAGACCAGGCAAGTGTTCGCCTCTTTCTGTGCCTGCGCAGGTGACCACCTCTTCCACTGACTGAGAGAGAGAGAGAGAGAGAGCAGAGGCTGCCAGACATTGGCCCATTCTGCATCCTGAGACCTATCTGATGAGCTCTAAGGGAATTCCCTAATTCTAAAACTCTAGGGAGTCTGTACTAAGATTAGATAGATAGAAAATGACAATACATACAGTGATTAAGAGTACAAGCTGCCTGCATTCAAATCACTGCTTCTTTACTTCCCAGCTGTGTGACCCTGGGCAAGTCACTTAACTTGCCAGAGCCTCAGCTTCCTTATCTCTAAAAGGAGAATAATCCAAGGACCTACCTCACAGAGTTGCTGGGAGGATTAAGTAAAACCAATACATGGAACACCTTAGCACGTGGCCTGCAGTGTATGAAGACCACACCGAGTGACAGTGATTATTACACATGATATATATGCAGCAGCACCAATCACTACAACAGATTCATTGCTTTCTAATGCACCAGCTACTGTGCTAAGTGCTGTGCACATACTAGGAAATTTTTTAAATGATAGCTGATACTATTTGAGCACCTTCAGGTCTTAAAATTCCCATCTTACAGGTGAGAAAACTGAGGCCCAGAGATAAGTAATCTTGCTCCAGCTGAGATTCAAATCCAGGCTGTCTGGCTTCAGAGCCCATACCAGTGAGGGCTCTCAGTGAGGTCTGTTTTGCTCATGGAACTTGTTATAAGACATAGATTCCAAGGCCCCACCACAGGGCCTGCAGATTCTAGATGGAGCCTGGGAACCTGCATTTTTGCAAGCCTTCCTTGGGTGGCTTTGACAGAGGCAACATTCTGAGAACCGGTGAACGGCATGATGTGGCCCCCCTGTCCACTGGAAGTGACAGTCCCCCATTGCAGGGCAGTGGGTGATTCTGGCACAAAGCTCGCCAAGCACCTGGTACACAGCAGGTGCCCGTCACTCGCGGTAATGCTGCAGCATTTGTCACTGCTGTCGTTATGACACAGGGACTCAGCTGCCTCTTTCCCACCTTCTCCCCATCTCCCCTGCAGAGGTGGCTCTGAGTGACCCCGCCTGTACAGGGGCCACCGCCCCACCACGAGAGGAGAGAGCGGGGGGAGTTGGGGGCTATTCGGCAGTTGGAGCCAGGGAGGACCAAGCGGGCCACCCACTGGGTCCCTATTCCCAAGCGTCTGCTGCTGCTCCCCAGCCAGCCGTGGTCCCAGCCCGCCAGCCCCCACGCCCAGCGGAGGAGGAGGAGGAGGAGGAAGCCAACAGCTATGATTCAGATGAAGCAAGTAGGTGACGCGTAACGGAGGGATGGCTGGAAAAGTCACTTCAGCGGTCGCCCCCAGGGAAATAGGAATGGCTCTGGGGACAGCTCTGGACATCCCCAGCCCCCCAATATGCCAAACCTAATAAACATATTTACCAAGTTATAAAAATACAAATTCGTGTTACTAAACTCACAAAATGACATCAGCTTTCTAAAGTATAAGCGCATCTATTTTTTCATTGTTGTAAAAGACACATGACATCAACGTTAACCATTTACATAATTTTTTAAGAGTGCGATTCAACTATATTCACAAAGTTCTATTGGGTGGCGCCACAGACTATCACGCGACTCAGCAGCCCCACTCCCAGGCGTATGTATAGACAGAAATCTATTTCAGCTGTTTCCCAGGCTCTTTGGTGTGTGTCTTCTAAAAGTCATTTTTTAACCATGACTTTAAAATTTGTGACACTTCCTCTTGCATCCATCCATTCAATGATTTATAAAGTGCCTGCTCTGTGCCACACACACACACACACACACACACCAGTGGCACTTCTCCTGGGTGTGGCTGGGAGCAGCAGGGGAGAGCTGGGGTGGCCTTTGTGAGCTGCAGGGAAGCATGGATGGGTTGTGTCTGGACCTGATGCATGCTGTGGGGTTGGGGGAACGTTCTAAGAGCTCCTGGTCAGATGGGGAGACTGGACCCACTCAGAAGAAATGGACCAAGGGCTGTAATCGGCGGGATGGCTTTGGCCCATCGCGTCACCTCCCCTCGTTGTAAAAGGGAAAGCAAATACCACCTCCCATGCAGGGCTGAGGGGTCGTAAACTGAGGTACCTGCTGAGAAAGGGCTTCATAAACCAGAAATCATTATTATATAGTGCGAAACACACGTGAGGAATTATTATTATATGACATGCACATCTGAAGTAATAATAGTCAACACTTGTTGAGCCCTTATTTTGTGCCGGGCACTTTTCTAATTGTGTTACGAGCACATGCTCAATTTAATGATCCCAGTGAGCCTGGGAATAGTTGCTTTTCCTATTCCAATTTCACAAATAAGGAGACAGAGGCTCGGAGAGGTTCAGGGACTTGTCCAAGTTCATATGGCCAGTGAGTGGAGGGACTGACAGTCTCATTGCTGCAGCAGGCCAGAGGCCAGACCTGGAGGGAATATCAGCTGTCCTGTCTCTCGCAGGGGTCATGAGTCTGCAGGCTCAGGGGAAAGGAGTCTGAGGAGCCTACTCCCACCTCGCTGGCTGGGGGCTGTTTCTGCCCTGGAAATGCACCATGTCTATCCCACCTTCCTGGCTTTCCACATCCTGGTCCTTCTGCCTGGAGCAGTGGCCACTGCTCCTTCCATCTGCCTTAAGTGTCTCTTTGCTGACCTGCCAAGCCTAGAAGTTCCCTCCCAGCTGGTGTATGTCCCTGTTAGGAGCTGTCCCTAGTGATTTATAACAAGCCTGTCTCTGTATTCAACTCCCTCCCTCACTCATCTCTATATTTGACAAGTATTTATTGAGCACCTACGAGGTGCCCCCAAACTATTCTAAGTGCTAGGGTTACCATGGCAAAAAAAGAAAAAAAAAAATAACAGACAAGATGGCTGATCTAATGGGACTAATATTTTAGTGGAGAGAAACATACCAGTGAGTTCATTTCAAATAAAGACAGAGCACCGTGAAGGAAATAAAATAGGGCGAATGGCCATGAGGGTGGCTGCTTTAGATGGAGCAATCAGGGAGGGTTTCTCTGAGGAGGTGACATTTAAGCTGTGATGTGGATAATGAGAAGGCACCAGCCATGTGAGGATCTAGAGAGAGAGCATTCCAGACAGAGGCAACAGCAAATGCTGAGACTCATTTATTCCTTCAGCAAGTAAGTGAGCACAAACTGTGTGCCCTGCATTGTGCCCAGCGGGGACATAGCAGTGAACAGGGCAGTCACAGCCTTGCCCTCATGGGACTCTCAACCTAGCAGATGGAAATCATTAACTAGGCAATTGCACAAATGATTAACTGATCACAGGTGTGCTGAGGGCTCCGAAGAAGAGGAGGGCCTACCAGGATGGGGAGTCCAGAGGGACTGAGTCTTCCTCTCCTCTGTAGGCTCAATGGCTAGCCCAGACTGGGCACACGGTAAGTGCTCAGGAAATGTTTGTTGAATGAATTAATGTCCTCTTGGTACCTGCCTCTGTCTTCTTCAGCCACCCTGGGTGCCCTGGAGTTCAGCCTTCTCTACGACCAGGACAACAGCTCCCTGCACTGCACCATCATAAAGGCCAAGGTGGGTAAGGGGGCCAAGCTGGGGACCACTTAGGATGTTCTGGCATTTCTAGGGGACTTGGGGAGGGCATGGGTGACCATGTCTGTCTCCTGTCATTGCCTTGTCTATCTGTGACAGTGACAGTGATGAGGAAAGAGCAGGAATTAGCCACGGCCAATTCCTTTGCAGGGAGGACTTCCTCTGGGGAAGGTCCCAGAGGGGTTTCACTTAACTGCAGCTGCCTCCCGGGAGTGGAGGAAACCAAGCTTCAAGGGCAGAGCCAAGATCTGCCCAGCCCCATCCACACCCTCTGGAGGGGATCTCAGAGGTGTCACCTGGGAGCAGTGACAGCCTAACTTGACAGCTGACATGCCACTGAACAGCTCCTTCTATAGACGGGGCTGTCAAGCTGGAGCTACAGACTGAGTCAGGACTTATTGTTGCAGATACAAGGACAGTAATCTGGGCTTCTGGGGCGGGGGGAGGGGGCGAGGCAAACCAGATTGGAAGAGCATCTCCATGCTACAGGCTCCAGGGGCAATGAGCCAACTTTACTGCAGCCCGCAAAGAAAGCTGGATGATGCCAATGCTAATCCCAGGAAGTAGTTGACCAGGATCTCCGCCTGCCCCAAGCCTGGTCTATAGAAAATAACAAGCAAGGTTCAGGAACCAGACTTCCTGGGTTCAAATACCAGCTCCACCCCTCCTAGCTGTGGGATTTGGGGGAAGTTAACCTCTCTGTGCCTCAGGGATAATAAGAGAGTCTCTCCCATGAGGATGTTGGTGAGTGTTACGTGGAAGGTGGCGGGGTGTCCCAGTTTGCACAGATGGTCCCCAGCTATGCCTGTTGCCTTGATGAAATAATTAAGAACTCTCCTTTCCACTCACAAAATGTCCCAGTTTGGATGATCAATAATGTATGAAATGCTTAACACAACTTCTAGATCAACGTACCCAGGTCACTTCTTCAGCAGGCACTTAGATGCATTTACACGTGCCCTCCAATAGCACAGTGAGGTAAGGCCCTACATTATCTTATTTCATCTTCATAGGAACCTCTGAGGAAGAGATTATTATTAGCCCCATTGTGAGGCTTAGAAAGTTAAAGCCTGAGGCCACTCAGCTGGTAAGGGATAGAGCTGGATTTGAATCCAGATGTAACCATCTCCAGCTCCAGAAATGGGGGAAAGCCACACCATTACAGCCCCCTTGCGACAGGGGTACAGAAAACTCAACGGCTCAGGGGCTGGGCTGGTAAAGAGATGAGAAAGACATGTGAGACATTAGGGAATGGTAGTAACTTTGGTAAACTAAACTGGTGTGAGCAGGACCCAAACAAAGATGTTCAAGTTCAAATTTGAAAAACACAGCGTCTGCCAATTTGTAACCTCCCAATCCAAACAGACATTCCAGACATGTTTATTAAATACCTACTCTGTACCAGGAACTACCCTAAATGTTGGGGAATATTAAAATGAGCGAGAATAGACTGTGCCCTCATGGAGAAATGGACAAGAAACCACCACTATAGCATCTCCTGAGTATAGTATATCCTCTGGGGCTTTCTACAAATTATTTCTTCCCATTTAATCTTCACAACAAACCTATGAGGAAGGTTTCATCATCGTTCTCATTTTATAGATGGGGAAATTGAGGCACAGAGAGATTAAGGGACTTGCCCAAATCACACAGCCAGGAAGTGGTGGAGCTGGGATCTGAACCAGTGTTGTCCAGCTCAAAAGCCTATGCTCTTACCTTCTAGGCTACCCGGCCAGATTTCCCCCTTGCACCCCACTTTGTGGCCTCCTCTCCCCACCTAGTAGTAGCAAACGTTGTTCATACTGAACTTGTGCCAGGGCCAGAGTTCAGCCTTCACAGGTGAGATCTCATTTAACCCTCCAAGAATCCCATGAAGCAGGGTCTGTGATCAGCCCCACTGAACAGCTGAGGAAACTGAAGTCCCCGGAGATCACAGGGCACGATACATGGGATTGGGGATTAGTGCTGTGAGAGGAGAGAGTGGGAGCCCAGAGATAAGACACCTGCCTCAGCCAGGGCCTAGGGGGATGGGCAGAGCGTATCTGAGCCCCAGGAATTTTGGAACTGCTCATGTTAACAAGCCCAGCTTAACTCCTACCCCGGACAAACTGCTCTCCCCCACAGTGGCTCATTTTAGCCATTTTAGCCATGCCAGCTCTGTGAGGGGGGCCAGGCAGAGATTGTGATCCCCATCATACGGATGGAGAAACTGCGGTCTCAGAAGTGAGTGCAAGGGCCAGGGCCAGAACTCAGGCCTCCTTTCGCTGGCCTTTCCTCCTCTCCCACCCATTCTGGGACATGTCCTCCCATCCCAGCAATAACAATCCAGCCTTGTTGGAGCACTTCCTGTGTGCCAGGTACTGTGCCAAGCACTTTACCGGTGGGATCACGTTTAAATCTCACCAGCCCATGAAGCATCCCATTTGACAGGTGAGGAAAATGAGGCTCAGAGAGGTTAAGAAACTTGCCTAAGGTCACACAGCCAGTAAGTGACTTGGCCAGGCTTTAAACCCCGTCTGCCGGATTCCAGTGCTCATTTCAAGATACTGCATTTCCCTTCTCTTTCTTTGCAAGAGGAAGCACACAGGATGGGGTGATAGCTGTGCCCATTGCCTGTGATAGCTGAGCGCCCAGCCCTCCCCAGGCCCTCACGCCACTGCCTTCTTCTCTTACAGGGACTGAAGCCCATGGATTCCAATGGCTTGGCCGATCCCTACGTTAAGCTGCACCTCCTGCCGGGAGCCAGCAAGGTACCATATGGCCTGGGCCTCTTGGCAAGGGGGGCACATGGGCTCTGGAAAGCACCCAAGGTTCCCAGCTCAGAGCCTAAAATAGCCCTCCCCAAACCCCCTCTTCCCTGATTGGCAAAGTTCTTACAAGGGGTAAGGGATGGGCCAGAGCCATTCTCCTTCAAGAGGCAGGGGCTCTGCTCATTTCTCTAACTCAGAAACCTGGGATCCAGGTGAGAAGCAGATACCCTGATTATGCCCTTGACCTGCTCAAACACCTTCAGGGCTCCCCAGTGCTGACCATGGTCCACCTCCCCCACCCATTTTTTGCCCCAGCCAAACATCTCTCAACAGAAATGACTAACTCTTTCCAGATAACTTGAGAAAAGGTTCTATTATTAAGAGAAAATTTACCCCCATCCCTTCCACCTTTCTGGGAGGGAAAGTGGAATTAATTCTCCTTTCTTTGGATTGACCCACTCAGAGCACATGGCTGGAAATGGACGTGTGCCTTCTTGGGCTTTATTTTTTGCTTTGTTGTGTTAATTTGACATGGATGTCCTAAAAACAAGGCTGCCTATATACTTGGTTACATGATCTTAGAAAAATGCCTTTCAAAAATCTCTGCAAGGGCTTCCCTGGTGGCGCAGTGGTTGGGAGTCCGCCTGCCAATGCAGGGGACACGGGTTCGTGCCCCAGTCTGGGAAGATCCCATATGCCACGGAGCGGCTGGGCCCATGAGCCATGGCCGCTGGGCCTGCGCGTCCGGAGCCTGTGCTCCACGGCGGGAGAGGCCATAGTGGTAAGAGGCCTGCATACCGCAAAAAAAAAAAAATCTCTGCAAGTATCAAATGCCCCATTAGACAAAAAAGGACACACACACACACACACACGCACACGCACGGGCACATACACTTTATCTCACTCTTTTTTTGTTTGGATCAAGGAAAGACAGTCCCACCTGGCCATGGTCAAACTTGTTGGCCACTACTCCTTCTGACTCCCCAGCGACGTTTGCTTCTCCTTGAGCCACTTCTTTGCCCACTCCTAAATCCAAACCTGCTTTGCCAAAGAATCCAATCAGTCACTTACATGTTAGTATGAATTAGATTTCGCACCAGGCTACCAGGTGCGTTTCTAACCTTCTCTCTTAGAGTAAAATGAAAAATTTTGTCCTCTCTAAGGAATTTCAGGCATGGAGGATGCTATCTGGGGAAACAGAGCGGACCATCCCAATATCCCCAGAAATTATTTCTTCACTGCCTAGGAATGGGAAACTCTCATTTCTGCTTCCCTGGCCTAGAAACAATACTTTTTCTCAAAGAAAAATATCTTTGCTTTCTAATCTTTATAAAGAGTTCAAAGAGGGGGCCCAGTGCCTGGAGGGAGGGCTGGCCCAGTAGCCAGTGTTGGTGATGCACCCTAGAGGATGACCCCACTCCCTGAGAACATGCATTTGGGAGCAACAGAGCCCCTGGACACTCCTGAGGGAAGTGGGCTCCTAAGTCACCCACCCGTCGCAAATGAGCCCAAGGGATGGAGCTGCAGGGCTGACTCCCCACTGAGACAGATGTCTGTCTGGGTTCTAGTCCAACAAGCTTCGTACCAAAACCCTGCGGAACACCCGAAATCCCATCTGGAATGAGACTCTGGTCTATCATGGCATCACGGCTGAAGACATGCAGAGGAAGACCCTCAGGTGCTTGCCGGGAGGGTGGGCAGAGAGGGGCCTGAGGCTGGGCAGTCTAAGGCATGCGTGGTTCCTGGGGGCAGCGCTTTAAAACATCTCAGAGTAGTTTTTTGTTTCTTTTTTTCTTCTAAAAAGCAATATATATTCCTGATAGACACTTTTGAAAATACAGATAAGTGAAACTGTTAACATCTTGGTGCCTGGACATTTGGGTTTAGCGTGTGTCTATATTTGTGTGTATGTGTTTGTGTGTGTGTGTGTGTGTGTGTGTGTGTGCGAAAGTTTTTTTTTTTTTAATAAAGTTGAGTGTTTTTAAAAGTGTTTATAAAAATGGACCATCCTATTAAGTAATCAGCCAGTTTCCCTTAACAATATACTGACGCCACTTCATATTCTTCTACAGTGTATTAAAATGCATTTTAAATTATATAAGTAATAAATGAGTACATTGTTCTTGTAAAGAATTATTGAGAAAACAAAGCTGCTTTCAAATGTTAGTCCCCTCCCACAGAAGGAGAAAGCCTGGGTTGCCTTTCTCCTTCTGTGAGTGTGTGTATATTCATTATATACATACATATACTATATATATATGTGTATATATATATATATATATATATATATATATACACGCACACACTGTCGTTTACAATATAAGAAATATCATGTTGAATATATCTGGAACGTGTCTTTTTCCTTAACAATATATCTTGGGGCTGTGGCCATGAGAAGACATTTAGATCTACCTAATTTTTAACTACTTCAGAGTACTCCATAGCATGGGTCTATCACAGATTTTTTTAATGTTTTATTATTAAGTGTTACGAATATACGGAAAAATATAGAATATAATAAAAACAAATACCCATGAACCCAATACTCAGTCTTTCAAAAATCTTAATATTTGTTGTATTTGCTTCAGCTCTTTTTTGTAAGGAATAAAGCACTACAGATGCAAATTGAAGCTCCTCTTGTATACTTCATCCCCCACCCCTTTCTCTTCTTTCCTCCCCAGGGCGAAACACTATCCTGAATTCTATGGGTATCATTTCCAAGTGTGTCCTATGCTTCAGCTACTTAATTATGTATCTATAAACAATATATGGTATTGTTGGCATGTCTTAAAATATTATGTAACTGTTTACCACTTTATCCAGTTCCCTGTGGACAGACATTTAGATAGCTTCTACCTTTTTTCTATTACAAACAAATTTGCGATGAGCATTCTTCATGCTTCCTTGTGTTCATATGAGTATTTCCTTAGGACAGAAACTAAGGAGGGATATTTGCTGGATCACAGAATATGGGGTGTGGGTCTTTTTAATTTGGCAAGGCATAAAAACTGGTTTACAAATGGGCTGTTCCAAGTACATTCCTATCAGCTACAATATTATTTTAAGGAAACATAAACGTTTTTATTGCAATGTAATAACATCCATTTAGAAAAGTGCACACAGAAAAAGTGTACAGATTGATGAATTTTCACCAAGTGAACACACTGGGTTAAGAGAACAGAACATTCCCAGACTACAGAAGCCCTCCCCTGGTGCCCGCTTCCAGTGAGGACCTTTTCCCCCAGGGGATTCACTACCCTAACTGCTAACAGGAAAAATTAATTTCGTCTAGTTCTGTACTTTATACAAATGAAATCATACCACATAATTCCTTTATGTCTGTCTTCTTTCAGCTAATAGTATATTTGTGATGCTCATCCGAGTTGTTGTGGGTACTTGTAGGTTGTTCTTTCTCATTGCTATTTAGTATTCCATTGTGTGACTATAACACGATATTATTTATTCATTCTACCGTTAATTGGCATTTGGTTGGTGTTCTGTTTGGGGCTATTACAAATAGTGCTGCTGGGAACATTCTAGTAGCTATTTCTTGCATACATTTCTGTTGTATATACACCTGGGAGTGTAATGGCTGAGCCATGGTGTATGTATATGTTTAGCTTTATTAGAAACTGCCAGTTTTCCATAGTGATTGCACCAATTTACACTGCTACCGGCAATGTCTGGGAGTTCCAGTTGCTTCACATCCTCATCAACACTTTTCCATTTTGGCCACTCTGGCGGGTGTGTAATGGTGTCGCATTGTGGTTTTGCATTTCCCTGATGAGCAATTACAACATTATTTTCAATGCGTACTGTTACATTTTTAGGGTTACTTCATAATTTTCTTAAGAAGTCCCCCCATTATAGAATACTTATGTTATTTCTGCTTTTTCACAACTATAAACAAAACTGTGGTAAAGATCTTTGTAGTTACGTATTTTTTCACTTATGTCTTCAAGGTAAATTCCTAGAAGTGGCGTTACTAGGTCAAAAATGGTGATTATTCGTGAGTCTTTGGAGACATACTGTCCTGCAGAAAGGATGGTGGTGTTTACACCCCCACCGGCTGAATGGAGACAATTTCTTTCTCCAGTTGTGTACAGTGTGGGGCTCAGCAGGAGGGTGTTCTGACCCTTCAGAACTTTGAACCTTGTTCAACAAATGTTAATGGCCAAGAAGCAAGGTGCTGTTAGTTCCTGTCTGTCCCCCATGGGGGGAAAAGTCCTTTCTTCCTCTTAGTATATGTCAGGATGAATTATCATGCCTCGATTGGTCCTTTTGGCCTCCTGAGGGACCTTTCTCATGACCTGCCCCTTTTTGTGCCTCTGGTCTACTCAGTGCTGTGCAAAGTAGATAGCAAAAGACAATATAGTGTTCTGGAAATCAGGAGCTTCAAATTCTGGTTCTGCCCCTTACTGGGGAAAAATTATTCAACATATCTGGGCCCCAGTCTCCTCTCCAAAGTGGGGAACTCAGAGGTCTGGGGGGAGAAAGAATGAAATGAGAAGAGTCAGCTAAGTTCCTAGCCTAACTTTGCAACAGATGACGCTGAAATGACCATAAACTAGATGTAAAGGGGGCTGAACTTCATTAATCATCAGGGAAATGTATTGGGTTGGCCAAAAAGTTCATTTGGGTTTTTTCCACAACATCTTATGGAATACTAATAAATTAATACTACAAGGAGATACTATGGCCCACTCAGAATGGCTAAAATTAAAGACCGACAAAATCGAAGTTAGAATGAAGAGCAACCAGAGCCTGCATAAACTGCTGGTGGGAGCGTAACTGGTGGAATCACTTTGGAAAACTGTTTAGAAGTTTCTACTAAGGTTAAACTTGTGTGTAGTCCATGGCTCAGCAGTTCTGCTCCTAGGACGATACCTAACAGAAATATGTATCTATGCATATAGAAAAGACATGAACATGAATGTTCCATTGCAGCTTTATTCATAACAGCCAGAAATGGCTCAAAACCAAATGCCCATAATTAGCAAAATTATTACAACATATTTACACAACAGAATACTATACAACCAAAAAAGGGACAAATAACTATAGACATGGATGAATCTCACAGACATAATGTTGGACAAAAGAAACCAAATGTAAAAGGGTATACATCTGATTTTATTTAAATGTAAGTCAAAAACAAGACACTGCATCTTGCCAAGAGAACAAGATAGTGATTCTCTCTGAGGGAGGTAGTGACTAGGAGGGATCATGAGGGTCTTCTGGGAGCTGGAGTGTTCTATATCTTGATCTATCTGAGTGGTAGTTACATGGGTGTATGCAAATTCAAAAATCCAACAAGCTAGAAATTTAAGATTTGTGTATGTTATTGCTTGTTAAGTTATACTGTGATCAAGAAGAAATTAGAAGTACCTGGCCTAGTGCTCAATAAATATGAAGTTGTATTATTCCTGTGCACATTACACGTTCCTTGCCAGCATCAATCAGAGCTCTTGGTACATAGTAGGAGCTCAATATATGCTCTTCTTTCTTTCTCCATCCTTTATGTCAATCGCAGGATCTCTGTCTGTGATGAGGACAAATTTGGCCATAACGAGTTTATCGGTGAGACCAGATTCTCGCTCAAAAAATTGAAGCCCAACCAGAGGAAGAACTTCAATATCTGTCTGGAGCGGGTGATCCCGGTGAGTGCCTTTGCCCCAAGGGTTCAATGGGGAAGAAGAGTTGGAGAGGTGGGTGCTGCCTTCTTTTGGGGCTGTAAAGGATGTGATAGATCTGTAGGGTGCCAGACAGGAGAGGGGCTTTGGCAGCTGTTGGAGGGAGGGTGAAGATTTCAGGTCAGAACATGGGGGTTGCATCCTGGCTATGCCTTCTACCAACCCTGTGTTAGCATCACTTCTGAAGGTCAGAGTGGTGTGGCAGAGTGGCCTGCCTGGGTTCAAAGCCAGCTCTGCCGTTTCCCTGCTCCCTGGCCTTCACCAAGGGTCTGAACTATTCTGGGCCTCAGTTTTTCTTGTCTCTAAAATGGGTGTTACGACAGCACCTGCCTCATAGGAGGCAGAACCTAGTACCTAATAAGCACTCATAAATTAACTGTTGTTATTATAGTAAATAATACTGCCTTACCCACCTGTCAGTCAAGAAGTCATAAAGAATCATAGAGATACACAGGAGGCAGGATACCATAGCACTTAAGAGCATGGGCTCTGGAGCCAGACTGGGATTGAGTCCCAGTTTCTGCCACTTATAGTATAACTTGAGTCAAATGACTTAACCTATCTGTGCCTCAGTTTTCTTGTCTGTAAAATGGGATAATATAGTACCAACCTCATAGGGTCTTTTAAGGATTAATGTAAAAGTACATGTAAAGCATTAAAACTGTTATTGTTAGATGTGATACTCACCTTTTGAGAAAGAACAAGAACCAAATCGAGGTTGTCCAATTGGACTACACCTCTGAATCAACTAGAGATTTTAAAACCAGAGCTTTACAAAATAGATTCTGTGGGGGATCTCCCTGGATATTCTGACTTAGCAAGATAGGGTGAGACCTAGCAATCTGTATTTTTAGACATAATCCAACCTACCCCTTTTTACATCTGAGCCACCTGGGGCCCAAAAAGAGGAGCGAGTTGCCAAGGTCATACCGCAAGTCAGCGACCGTGTTCTCAGGCACCAGCCAGAGCCCAGCTTTCTTGCAATGACCTGCGTGCCTGCTCCCCCTGGGCAGTGGGCCAGCGCCCCATTGGGAAGCCGTGGAGGGTGGGAGGGGGACTCCTGCAGCATCCTCCCACCAGATGGCCAGCCTGAGGATGGACTATCTGTGTGCTGCACCATATTTTATAGCACAGACAAAGGAAGACACAACAAGGAAAATTGCAAGGAAGAATTTACACCGAATGCCAGGCTCCCAATAAATCATTAGATGTGCCTAGGAATGAAGCCTTTCCGCTGGGTCTTTGCCTGGTAACAGGTGGCTCTTCAGGCTTTGTCATCCTTCCGTCACTCAGTGAGTCCAGTGGGTCAGCTCCTGGGTCTGCCATCTCGCTGTGATGGACGCAGCCAGCCTCAGAGGCACAGAGGTGGCAGGACAGGCCCGCACTGGCCCCACAACCCTGCTGATCACCTCCTTTGCTCTTAAACCTCCCACCACCAACTCCCCTCTTATGCCCCACTAAGGACAGGGACCTCATAAGCTCTGACCCCTCTCCTCTGGACTTCAGTTTTCCTCATTTATAAAGTGGAGAGGTTGGATTTAACCAGTGCTTTTCACATTGTGTTCCCCAGAGCCTTAGAATCCTGCAAAAGGGCCTTAGGAGCCATGGGGGAAGAAGCACCTGGTGGCCCCTGTGCCACTTCATCCAGAGCAGACAAAATCTTGTCTGTTTTGTGTATGGGCTGCTTTGCCACTTATTGGTTGTGGCAAGTGGTTTAGCCACTGTGGCCCTCCGTGTCATCATCTGTAAAATGGGGATAGTAATACAACCTACATCAATAGGCTGTTGTGCATTAACATGGTCTCTCAAATGGTTAACGTTATATACATTTTAGCCGAGTGGGGGAAAGCTGGAGGGCCACAGAAGCTTGGAGAACCCATCCTCATGGCTCTGGATGCCAGTGGAGGGGAGAAGGTGTTTCTGGTTTTTCTTGTGTAGGGAGATGAGCCCCATTGACAATGTTATTTTTCCTTTCTGTCTCCTTCCTCAAGATGAAGCGTGCTGGAACCACCGGGTCAGCCCGAGGCATGGCCCTTTATGAGGAGGAGGTGAGCGCTGAGTGGGTGTTGAAGCCACAGTCGGGGTCTGGCATCTCCCTTTTCTCTCCCTCCCTGGCCCCTTTCCCACTCTTTTACCCCAAACCACCTGCCTGTTGGTTCACCATGAGAGGTGCCCTTGCCCAAGGCATTAGAACATGAGACCAGGAGCATGCTTTTCACACCTGGAGCCCCCAAGGTGGGGGAAGCCCCATCCTCTCATACCCGAGAGACACCCTTGACCTTGTTGGCAGAAGCTCTGCTGGCAGTTCTGCTGCACTAGAGCAATGCCACGCTCCCTCCATGGGGATGTAGGGCAGGTTCTCTGAGCTGTGTGTCTGGCAGAGACTGGAGTTGGGCTTCACAACCATGCCCTTGGCCCCAAGGACTGCACTTTTGAGAAAACTGGGTGGGTGGGGGGAGTCTGAGCTGAGTCACGTTGGAATCAGGGTCAAGCTCAGCCTATGATCAGAGTCAGGGTCAGTCCGTGTCTAAGAGTAAAGCCATTGGCCCCCATGTGCCTAGAACTGGGCCCCTTGGCTTTCATCATTTGCTCCTCCCTGGAGTCTGGGGTGTCTTCTGTCTGTAGTGCTGATTGCACTAGCACTGGCCCACCTCCTCCTACTTTCCACAGACTCTCTCTTTAATGGTCGCCATCCACGTTGCCCAGACCCCTTCCCTCCTGGGCCCACACACCCTCTTCTCCTACTGCAGCAGGTGGAGCGTATTGGTGACACAGAGGAACGCGGCAAGATCCTGGTGTCCCTCATGTACAGCACACAGCAGGGAGGCCTCATTGTGGGCATCATACGCTGCGTGCACCTGGCGGCCATGGACGCCAATGGCTACTCAGATCCATTCGTCAAGCTGTGAGTCAATGTCTGGGGACTATAAATGGGCCCCAGAGGGGGGTCCTAGATCCTTGCAAAGAGAGAACCAGAGAGCTTCCCCAAGATCATTGTACACTGAGGCCCAGAGAGGGCAAAGAACCTGCCCAAGGTCACACAGTGAGACGGATGCCCAGAACCGGTGAGTGTGAGTCTGGAGTCTCAGTCAGCCTGGTGTGTCACCCACCCATGTGAGAAGTTTTGTGGCTCTCCTCCTGTGGGAGAGGGGTGGTCGGCAAGGTTACAGTAATCCCATTTGTAGCGCCTGGGAATCAGCAACACATCCCTCCAGAGTCCAGAGCCCCACCACCAAAGAAGCAACCTGACTTTTTCTGGATTCAGTCTGGAAATGCTCGAAGAAAAGACCTTAGGCTTTGGGGTTATTCCAGTTATCTCAGTCATGGGGAATAAGAGAGACTTTGTGTTCTGGGTCCTCTGAGAAGATGCCAAGAGGGGATTAAACAGAGGAGAAATGCCTATGTGAGGGAAAGTAGGGGAAAGGCAGGGGAAATGGGACAGCAGTTAGACGGCCATTGGAGTCTGACCCTAAGTGAGGGGACGAGGGAGGGAGGGATGGGTGGAAGCATCCCAGATGCAAGTTCAGCAAAGCCATCAGGAAGTCCTCAAGCCAAAATTGGCCATCACATGAGGCCCATGTCTCCTAGGAGTAGGCCTGCCATAGGTATCCCTGCCATGTTCGGTAGTCAGCTGGGAGTGTGGCTTGGCACAAACATGGCATGGATTTCCAAGCACGGCAGCTGGGGCCTTGGTCATTTGTGTTCCCTGTAGTTGGAGGTCCTTCAGGCACATTCTCCAAGCCGCCATTGAATCAGACATGGGATGCACCTCCCATCTCTGCCAGCTACCAGCTGTGTAACTGTCAGCAAGCTATTTGATGTCTCTGAGCCTCAGATTCTTCATTGGTAAAGTGGAAAAAACAAGTCCACTTATTTCCAAGAGTGGCCATAAGGCTCAAATGAGATACCATATAAAAGGAATAAAATTACGCCTGGTACAGAAACATTTAGCTACTCTGAATAGAATTCTGCCTTGCTTGTGGCAGTAAAATATGTGTTTATGTGGTTGTTGTTGAGAGCCTGAGCTCTGGATCCAGACTGCCCGGGTTTGAATCCCAGATCCAATAGTCTTCAATATTCTCCAGCTGTGTGACCTTGGGCTCATGCCTTAACATCTCTGGGCCTCTATGTCCTCATCTATGAAATGGGAAGAGTAGTATTGGTCATTTGGTCCTGTCCTCCAAGAAGCAGACACCAAGACTAGATGAGATGCTAAGAGGTTTGCTGGGGAAAGCGCCTGGGAAGGAAAATTGAGAGAGAGCTGGAGGAGGACCATAGAGACAACAGGCCTGGTGCACGTCTGCTTCCTGGGGGGTAGTGGGGGGATGGTTGGGCAGGAAGAGTCTTAGACTGCAGTGCAGTTCTGTTAAGTTTCAACCATTGTGGTGCGGAATCCTTGAGCGCAGTCGCCCATTAGAGGAGCCCCGCATCTCCCAGAAATGGGGCTGCCTACTGTCGCTGCTGGCTCAGGTACTGGCTGAGAGTAGCCTGTGGGGAGCATGGCCACATGAAAACATAGTGGTGAATTCAGAGCCCAGCAGCTTGTCAGTCTCCCCCTGCAGTTGGAGATCTGAGAGATACATTTTCATGGAGTCGGTGCTCAACAAATACCTGCCATTATTGTTATAAATAATTACTATCACTGTCTTACTTATGGCAAAGAGTGTTTATTAATGATCTCTCCAACCTGGGAGACACTCCTTCCCCCATCCGCACTGCCTCTGACAATAGAAATCAATGCTTCCCTTAAGGTCATGGCTACAAATCAGGCCACAGTGGACTTTGCTCCAGATTTTCTTTGAAAGAGGATTTTAGTTAACAAAAGAACACACATGTCTGGAACGCGTTTGATTTCTAGGAGTAATTTCGTGTAATTTTCTAATTTTCCCACATGGCCCAATAGAGAACATTAGCTCCTGGGCTCCTGTCCTGTACTCCACTGAATCCCAGACACATGCAAATTGTTTTTCTTAAATAACTCTCCCCACCACCCCTTCTCCCATCTACCCAACCCTCCAGAAGAAGTAGAGTTGCAGTGGTCACCAGTGAATCAGCTGCCCTGGTGGGCATTGTAAAAAAGAAAACAGGAGATCATTAACCAATTTAAGATCCAATAAAGTTTTTTAAAGTCAGAATTGCCCTTTATTTTTGTTCAGCATCTGGTACCTTTCAAATCCCCTTTTGTATGTCTTCTTTCAGATTATCCTCAAAAGCAGTTCTGTGAGTGAGAAAGAAAAGTTTGCCTTCTTTACAGATTGGGACGCTGAGGCATGCCGAAGTTACACTCATGTTGAGAGTTGCGCAGCTAGTGACAGCTTGCATCAGAATCCAATTGTCCTAACTCATAAGAGTTTTTAGCCCATTTTATTTATTCGCCCAGAAAATATTGATTGAGCACCTACTACGTGTCATGCATTGTGTCTACACTGGGGGAAGAGCCTTCTAGGCAGAAGAAATAGTATGTGCAAAGGCCCTGGGACGGAAAGGAGAGTGAATGGGGTGTGGGGTGAAGCACGTGGCACAAGATCAGGCTGGACAGGAGCAGGGACCCAACCACGCAGAGCCTTACGGCCACATTAAGGATTTTGAACTTCACCCTGAGGTCAAAGGAGAGCCATGGAATAGTTTTGAACAGGAGACTGATCGTAATCAGATTTGCATCTTCTCCCTTTTGTCCATACCCTCATCATCTCCCCAGGACCTGGGGGCAGCTTAAGAGATAATCAGTAGTGAAGCCCCAGGCACCATCTTCCAGGTTCTCAATGATCCATTGGGAGAAAGTCCTAGCTAAGAGCACAGACTCCAGAGGCAACAGCTGGGTTGAGTCCCCAGCTGTGTGACCAGAGGCACATGTCTCAACTTCACTCTGAACGCTCAGTTTCCTTATATGTAAATGGGTGGTTGTACCATCTAGGGTTTGTCGAGGATTAAATATGCATAAGGTGCTTAGGTAATGCCTGGCACCAAGTAGATGCTCTGATGCACATTGGTCATTATTAATGTTGATTCACTTTCTGATCTGTTCATTATTCTCCTGACACTGGGAGGACCTTTGGGGTCATTAAGAGGCTGTTCTTATTCATTAAACTTCATCCATAATAGCCTCTCATGTCTCCTCTCAGCTGGCTGAAACCAGATATGGGAAAGAAAGCCAAACATAAGACTCAAATTAAGAAGAAAACGTTGAATCCTGAATTTAATGAGGTAAGGCTGCCCCATTTTTTGCCATGCTCTGGGATAGTTCCTATATGTGAGGGAGGAACAAATTCCCTGCTAGAAAGTTGTAAAGCACACACACACAAAAAAACTTTCTTACATAGATCAGCTTGAATTATCTAAAGAAGGAATGAGTTCCTCATCGTTGGAGGAAATCAAGCCTAAAACAAAAGCCTATAGATTTGGAATGTCATAGGGAAGACACTGTATTTGGAGAGAGAATGAATTAAATCATCTCCAATGTCTTTACCAACTCTAATAGTATATAATACTGATATTTGAGCAAATAAATAGGGGCAGTTGTCCCCTTTGCCACCCACCCAGTTGGCACTGCCCTCTCCCTCTCCGTCTCCGTCTCCCTCTCCCTCCATCCTCAGTGCATCCAGTCCTGCTAAAGCCACTATCTAGATACCCGTTGAATGTGCTTATTCCCCTGTATTCACACTGTTGACTTGTCAGGCATCTAAATACTCAAATGTTGAGCACTAGGTTAGGTCCAGCCACACAGCTGTTAGACAAAGCCATAAAAGTGGTGATGCAGAAAAAAAATTAAAAATAAAATGGTGATGTAGGAAAAAAAACCTGCTAACATGCAAAGTTGGTTTTTACCATGTGTTATAAAATGGAAAAAGGAAGCCACAGTACAGTATATTCATATTATATTTCTATAATACAATATTCAAATATTTCATATGGTATAAAATTCATATTAATTTTTCAAAACAGACACCAGTATGGTCACACATGGGGAATGTTGACAGTGGTCATTCTTGGGTAGATAGATAACAAGTTTTGGTTATGGGTTTTTGTGGGGTTTTTTTTTTGTTTTTTTTTTGCTTCCTTGTTCGTTTTAAAGATGAACAGGAATGAATTTTGTGATTAGGCAGAAGAGTTATTGACAAAATCAGATTATCTGAAAACATAAGCACCTAACCCTCAACTACCTTTAATCTCTGAAGAATGGAGAGTGAGGAAAACCACTTCAGAAGCTATCAGAATGGAAGGACTGAGTTCATGGCTATCTGCCTTTAAGGAAACTTGCCCAGGACCAGCCCTCTTAGAAACACCCCACCAGTCTTCTCAACTTCAAGCAGTGTCATTGAAAAGAGAATTATAGGGTCTGGGGGGCTTTATTATACGGAGTGTTAGTTGAGAGGGGTTCTTCAGGCCTGGGGTAAAGGCCCCTTTGATTCCAGATACCCAGTACAAGGTCCCCCCCTTGGTCCATGAACCCCTAAGACTCAGCCTCTTAGCTTCCGATGCCGAAGGCTCAGAGAACCCTGTCACTCACATGTCTTCCTCTGCTGCATCTAGGAATTTTTCTACGACATCAAACATAGTGACCTGGCGAAGAAGTCACTGGACATCTCAGTCTGGGACTACGACATTGGCAAGTCCAATGATTACATCGGTGAGTGCTCCCAGCTCCCGGGGAAAACCCTATCCTCTATCCTCCCAGGAGGGGGGAGCCTTACCCAGGGATGCACAGGGTTGAGGGCACTGCTTTACTTTGGTAATTACATTGTCCAAACGCTAAGTCGGGACCCATGGTCCTCACTTGGGTCCAGTTTGGCTTACAAAGCTGGGAAGATTGGATCACGATTGGTTATTTGCTGAACAAATCACCTCCAGCAGAATAATTAAATTACAGAAGAGTGGAGCGTGTGGCCTCTGCAGAAAATAGGGTGCAGGGCTTCCCTGGTGGCGCAGTGGTTGAGAGTCCGCCTGCCGATGCAGGGGACACGGGTTCGTGCCCAGGTCCGGGAAGATCCCACATGCCGTGGAGCGGCTAGGCCCACGAGCCATGGCCGCTGAGCCTGTGCATCCGGAGCCTGTGCTCCGCAAGGGGAGAGGCCACGACAGTGAGAGGCCCGCGTACCACATAAAAAAGAAAAAGAAAAAGAAAATAGGGTGCAAAGGAAGTCTGCTTAATCTATTTGCAAGTCCAGAATGAAGGTTCTCCTGTTCCCAGTCCCCCTCCAAATAATGAGGAAGAACAGTCATTACAGGTGGAGTAGGGAGGGAATTCCAGACAACGGATACAGCAAGAGCAAAGATGTGCAGGCAGGATTGAGCAGGGTGATGAAACTGACTCTCTGGAAATAGATGATGAGTACCAGAAGTAGTGAGAGAGAATTTCAGTGAGTGGATTGGTGACTTAAAGAAGGTCTTTAAAAATAGACAATGAAGTTGTGACTTGATGCCACAGTAGGGAGCCATTGCAGGTTCTTGAGTAGGTAGTCTGTAGGCAGAGAAAGCCAGTAGTAATAATAACATCATAACCACAACCTCCAGAGAGAATGGATCCCAAGTGGCTGGAGCCGGGGTGGGTCACTGCTTGGTGGCAGTTTTTCCCCAACTAGACATTTGGGTCCAGAATGAGATTCCCGTGCATCCCTCCACTCTGACCGCCTGCCCCTATCTTCCCATCTTGTCCTCCAGGAGGCTGCCAGCTGGGGATCTCAGCCAAGGGAGAGCGCTTAAAACACTGGTACGAGTGTCTGAAAAACAAGGACAAGAAGATAGAACGCTGGCACCAGCTACAGAATGAGAACCACGTGTCAAGCGATTAGGATGGCGCCCAGGTCCCCACCTCCATGCCCCAGCCCATGCCCCGTCACCCCACAGCCTGTCCCAGCTGCCCGTTGCACTCTGGTCTCTCTTCTCTACGCCTCCCCCAACCCCATCACTCCTGGAGCCTGCCTTTGAAGTCTCCCCCGCACCTTGGACATTGCCACCAAAAACCTCCCCTCTCCTCAACACTGCAATGCGGGCTCTGAATGCAGCCCCTCTCTGATCCCTCCAGGATGGAGCCATAGGGATGGGGATGGGGAGATTTTCACAAGGAGGTTGTTAATTTAACAACCTCTCAGCCTGGGTAAATTACAGAGGCTCTTCATCATTTAGGACTGTTTCTAGACCCTCCTGGCCTTGGACACACGCACATAACACACACACACACACACACACACACACACACACAACTTGTTTTCTATGTCGACATCCACCTATACCCTCAGTTGTCAGCAGAGCCAGACAAGGCTGTGAGGATAAGCATTTGGGCAGAAATAGAGCATCTCAAGTCCCTCCACCTCTTCACATCATACACCCCAATTGCCACAAAACAGACCCCCATGTTTAAACTCCCCGGTGACTAGGAACACACCCTCCTGGCTCCAGGTGCATCAAGAAATGACCACGCAGAATACCCAAAGGAACTGGGTAGCCCCCCCTCTTTCAGGATGTCCCCTATTTGCTTCCTAGCAGAAATGAGCTCCCATTCTCTACCACCCACCCACTCCCCTTCTCCTCTTTCCCCTTCCCTTAGCCCAAGGCCACGTTCACCTCTCCCTTCCTCACCCTCTCACCTGTTCTCTCTACTCCCACCTCTCGCCCCTTCTCCTTTCTCCCTCTCTGAGGGGGTAAAATAGCAAAAGCAAAAAAGTGTATCTTAACACAGCCTCACCTCCTCGCCGCCTCTCACCAGCCTGACCAGCAAATGCTGAGAAACTGGCAAATCCCTGAACTTCCATGTAGGTCTAAGCTTCTACAACCACCCACTTCTCCCCTTGGCAGAGCCGGGTGTCCTCGGGCCTTGGGCTGCTGCTGGCGCTGCCCTGGGTGCATGGCAGCATCCTGCAAGCTGTGTAGACACCCCGTAGAGGGGCTTTCTCAGCCCCTGGCCTCCCCAAGTGGGCGCAGAACGTGTTTAAACCAGAGGTCTGGGTTCCAGGAGGCCTCTCCAAAGCCCCTAGCCTTTCTCCTTCCTTTGCTCTTAGCTAAATGAACAAATGACCCCCCCCACTCTCTCTCTCTCTCCCTCCCTCTCTCTCTCTCTCTCTCTCTCTCTCAGACTCTCTTGCATCCTGTCTCTCACTCAGAATCGCCTCTGGTCTCTCTGTCTCTCTATCTCTTGCACCCTCTTCATTGTGTCAGGAGAACAAAACACCACCATGGACATAAAACTTTAGAGAGTGACAGATCCTGACACCAAAGGCTTTTGTTCCATCATGAATTGTTCAGTCTTTCTTCCTAAAAATTAAGAAAAAAAATTTTTTTTTCAAAGGAGGAAAAGGCAACGAGGACAAACATTATAAGGTTCACGGTCAGGTCATCTTCAGTGCCCTGTGAGAAAGGTTTGATTTTTCCCAATTTCCAGTAAGTCTTCCTTCATGAAAATTGCCCCCCCTCTCCAGTACCCCACCATTATCTATAGAAGTAGCCAGAGGGACACTAAAACTCTCACTTTCTCCAAACACACATCTTTTAACCTTCCATTTCTGGGCCCTCCACCCCTAGCTCCCTTGACAAGTTATTGGAAGTCATTGATTTCTTGCCTTGAACAACCATTTTCTAGACCCCAGGTATTTCGCCTTCTCCACGATGGCCAGCAGCTTCCTGGCTGCCATCTTCCCTCCTGACCCTCTCTCTCCAGTGGCCCCCTTGGAGTGCCCACTCTCAGCCCGCCTCCTGTTCATGGTTTGCCCTTAGGAGGAAGCATGCTGGCTGTGTCTCCCAGGCCTAACGCTGGCATTGGTGCTGGACTCAGCATGCGGCTAGCTCACAGTGCCTCTGTCCAGGCGCGCCCCCTCCCTGATAAATGTAAGCACCTTTCTGCTGGAACACACACACACACACACACACACACGCACACACACTACACACGTACACACACACGCCCTCTGGTGCATGCAGAACCACCCATCGCCTTTCTTTGTGATGATGTAGCCAAAAATAAAGTAGGAATATCCAGGAAAACTGATGGCCTGGGTTTTTCCTCTCTGGTTTCTGGAAGCTCTTTCTCCCCACCAACACACATGATGTTACCTGGATAGTCAGTAGTTAATGAGCATCTACCATGTTCCAGCCACTGGGGATACAGCAGTAAACAAGGCAGATGCGGTCCCTGCCCCCGTGAAGTTTGCTTTCTGATGGATATCATCTTGGAAAGGTGGGCTCCAGCCAACTTGACTGACCTCACGTCCTCCTGGAAGAATGCTTTTTGCTGGTGTCCACCCAATAAGAAGGCAGCATCCTCATCTTTTCCCGACTAACCGAACCTTGGGGAAAACTCCCTAGTGGTCATGGAATGAGATAATTTCAAGGCTGAAAGAGACCACAGAGTTGAGCCAGAGCCTGGTTCAGTCAGCTCACTTATCTGACAGATGAATAACCCAAAGCCCAGAGAAGGGAATGGGCACATCCAACATCTCATGGCTGCAGTGCCAGGAAAGGAGCTAGATCGTTGGACCCCCTGTGCAATGCTCTTAACGCACTGATTATAAGAAGGCAGATCACCAAACACCTCTTTTATATTGAAGCACTTTCCATCCTGCGATGAGCCTTTTCAGAAATGACCCCTTATGTGAGATTCTCAACAGTCCTGAAAGTGAGCTAACTTTTAACTGGAAAGTAACTAACTTTCCAGAAGGATTTTTAAACTCACTACAAGTGAGATTTTCAGCTTACATCAAAAGAGCTTAAGCAACTCATCAGGAAGATTGGTTGCTTCTCAGAAGGAGCTGACAATTCCATCCAACGGAAATTTCTCTTCCATGCCAAGTTTGAGGCAATTTCCTTTTCTCACTCCCAAAAGGGTGGTTCTCACTGTTGGGGGCAGAAGTTGGCATATTAGAATCACCTGGGGAGATAATATTTTTCAAACTACCTATGCTCTCCCTGCCACCATCGCCCCTTCCTGCAGATTCTGCTACACCCTGGGGACCAGAGGTATATTTGAAAATATTTCCTGGTTGAGGGCTTGGGCTTCCCACCTCCATCGTGACTTTGCAAACCACTGCCCTAAAAGTCCATCATTTTACCTACGATTCAGTCAGCTGCCACTAAGTGGAGAGGGGTGCCAGTCAGGGCCACACAGGCCTCTCGGGATGGCAGGAAACCCTACTTGCCGCGCTCTTTCCCTGTGCTCATGGTGGATCACTAATCAATGTGGCATTTTCCCCACAGAACCCACCAGCAGCATCTGCATCCTTCTCAACACAGCAGCCTACCCCTGGCAGCCACCACCAGTCAGTCATGGGCAGCTGAGAAGAAGCCTAATTTCCACCTCTGAAATGGTAGATCTCCTTCCCTCAGCGTGGGACATGCTTAACAGGCTGAGATGAATACACATGAGGAAAGCTTTCATAAATATCAGTACACCTAACTTGACTAATTTTCTTTTTTTCCCCACTGAAACCAAACATAGTGTAAGAGGCAACGTGGTGTGGTAGAAATCACCTGACCAGAAAAGCACACCAGCTTCTTAATCCACTCAGTGCAACATTCCGATCCTGACTGTCACTTACTAGCTGTGGAACCTAACCTCTCTGAGTCTCGGTTTCCTCATCTGGAAAATGGGGACGATATGTGAGCTTGAGCAAGTCCCTTCCTCCTGTGGGTCTTCAACTGTATAGGCAGGACATCGTTTGTGGTCCCCCGGGCCCACAAATAATGCCTTCATTTCCCAGTCATTCAAAGAAGACCTAGACCTCGTTGAGGGCAGATCCCCTGACTGCAGTCCTGCATTATGTGTTTTGCATAAAACACACAAGAATGAGCCATCTGTAATTTCCTGTTCCTGTTTCTTTAAAGAAAACAAGAACGTAAAGTCACCTGCAAAGACATGAGGGCCTAATTCTGGATTTTTCCAATTATGCCCTCAGTTCTTCTAGAGTTGTCTCACTCATACCTAATTCTCTGCACTGTTTTATGGTACTAGGCTTTATTACATCTTTACAAAGAATTCAGTGCTGGTTTTCTAAGGACAGATAGCTTTCGCACTCATGTTGGATTTGTTTACATATATTTTGTCAAAAGTATATATTTCATTAACAAGTACAGTTGCCCAAAAAGCATTTGGGAGCAAACAGAATCTTTGATAAACATACATTCCAACTGTATGTATAGAGTGTCACATAGATGAATGCCCATCCCCTTCATGGTTCCACATGCCTTAGGCATAAGTCAATATGTTATACAGAAGGAGTGGGGAGTGTCAATTAATTGATGAGCTGGTTAAGACAAGGGTGATTCAAAAAGATAGCTAATTGGCACTGACTACTTCACCCAACAACAGCAGAATACACATTCTTTTCAAGCTCACATGGGATATTCACCGAGATAGACTACCATCTGGGCCATAGAACGCACCTTAACAGATTCAAAAGCATAGATAGCATACAAGGTATGCTCTTTACCACAATGGAATTAAACAAGAAATCAAGAAAAGAAAGATCTGGAAAATTCCAACGTCTTTGGAGATTAAATAACACACTTCTAACACACACATGGGTCTAAAAGTCTCAAGAGACACTGAAAAAATATTTTACACTCAAGGAAAAGAAAAAATAAAATAAAATTTAGAGACACAGTGAAAGCAGTGCTTAGAGGAAAATTTTTAGCACTGAATGCATATATTAGAAGAGAAGAAACATCTAAACTCAGAGATCGTGGAGCAACAGGTGAGACTATTCTGCAATGATTTCATAATTGGTGGAGACAACACATTATGATTTGGCAAACCCACAAAATGTACAACGTAGTGTGAACCCTAAAGTAAACTTTGAACTTTATTTAATAATAACATGTCAATATCAATTCATCTTGCAACAAATGTACCACACCAAATTTGATAACGGGAAACTATGGGTGGAAGGAGAGAGGACATAAGTGAGCTCTGTACTTCAATTATTTTTTAAACCCAAGACTTCTTTAGGAAATAAAGTCTATTAATCAAAAGGGGGAAAAGTATAGGACAATGTCGTTTACAAAAAATAGACACATGGTTAGAGTTTGTGTGTATGTGTGTGTGCGTTAACCTAGAAAAAAATATCTGGAAAGATCTCCACCAAAATGTTTATAGATGTAGTCTTCGAAGTTTAGGATCCTGGATGGTCTTTATGCTCCCTGATTTTTCTGACATTTTTCTTTTTATAATATGCAGGTACTGCTGTAAAGATCATAGGAGACCATAAACCAATTTTGTAGGTAACAAAAAAAGACAAAGGAAACCCCCCCAAAAGTTTTTACTTATGACTTCTCTTGGGTGAGGTACTAAGCTGGGTTGAAAAGCAACATTTTCAGAACAGTCTGAAGAAAGGCCTGATGTTCTAGGGGGCTGGATAAAGGCAGAGTAAGTCTCAGAGAGCAGGGGAAAGAGCTGGGAGACACAGGGTCCAAGGGGTTTTTGATTTCTTAAAGGCAAAAAACAAGGTTATGGCTCCTCCCTTTCAAAGAAAGGAAACCAGTGACAGTCCAGACTCAGGGCACAGCTCTACCCTTTCGAGAAAATGAAACTAACAGCCTCCTAGACCCAGGCAGCAGGAGAGGTAGAAGCTTAACAGGTTTTGGCAGCCAACTCTGCTGCCTCTGGCTCTCCTGCCCCTGCCTGAGCATCATGAAGAAGCTTAGAAAGACCCGAGCCAACCAACTGGACAAGTTCATCGAAGACCGCCTCCTGCCAGACGAGGATTTCCGCGCGCAGGTCAGTGAAGCCATCCACACCATCTGCAGCTTCCTGAAGGAGAGGTGTTTCCGGGGGGCCCCCCACCCCCAACTTCGGGTGTCCAAAGTCGTGCAGGTGAGTCCAGAACTGCCTGGCTGGGGAGAAGGGGGCTGAATGAGCAAGTGTTCCCACAGAGACAGAGAGCAAAAGGTTGAGGTCTCTGGGGCTGGTGGTTTCTGATTTATCCATGCCAAAACTATAACCACAGCTTGTGAAAGTAGCTTCTGGGGTGAGGGCCTCCACCTGTAAGCTTTTAACAAATGCCCAGGTGCAGTTTATAAACCACCTGTGTCGCGTCCACCACAGAGATAGACAAACTGAAGCCCAGCTGTATCAACAATCCGCTAATCATCGACCAGGCTGGGGACACACCATGCCTGCAGACTCATGAGCTGGTTAAGAGCATAAGTTTTGAAAGCAGATAGCACCTGCTGCTGTGAAATCTTGGGCGAGTCACTTAACCTCTCTGTGCCTCAATGTCATCATCCATAATTCCCAGTACTTTGCAGGGCTTGCAGATCAAGTAAAATAAGCCATGGTCCAGTTTACAGTATTAATTATATAAGGTCGTAAAGAACAGGGAGTAAAGAACACAGACTGAACTGCATCTCTGCCACCTACTAGCTGTGTGATTGGGCTGATACATAATCTCTCTCAGCATCTGTTTCCCCACCTGGAAAATGGGAACAGATAATAATAGTAGCTAAATCACAGAGTTAAGACTGGTAATGCCTTCAGAACAGTGGCTAGTACTCAAAATGTTAGTAATTGTTCTCAGCATTTTATTTAGGGAGGCTCTTCTCAATGATAAATATCAGTTCTCGTTGTCATCACCTTTTTCAGGGTGGCTCCTCAGGCAAAGGCACAACCCTCAGGGGCCGATCAGATGCTGACCTCGTCATCTTCCTCACCAATCTTAAAAGTTTTCAGGAACAACTTCAGCGCCGAGGAGAATTCATCAAGGAAATTAGGAGACAGCTGGAAGCCTGTCAAAGGGAGGAAATATTTGAAGTGGAGTTTGAGAAACAGCAATGGGAGAGTCCCCGTGCTCTCAGCTTCGTGCTTAGATCCTGTCAGCTCCATGAGTGCGTGGAGTTTGATGTCCTGCCCGCTTTTGATGCCCTGGGTGAGCACTCTCAGCCACAAGGTGTTTCAGCCTTTGTCCTATGTCAGGGCTTCTTCTGCTCTCTTTTCATGTTTCTGAGCAGAAATCTCTCTCACTTTGAGAGTCTTATTAAACAGGGCATCCCTTCAAGTGGGGAGGAGATCCTAGCATCTCTTCTGGGGCAAGAATGTTTAGGGTCATACTGAGCCACTGCAGTGACATTAACAACAAATTGGTACAATTTGGGAGCAGTATATTTTTATAGAACACCTGCCAAGCTTACTAGTTTTACTCTTGGCAAAGTGTGTGAATCTTCTCTTTCTAAAAATGAGGCAGCGTATATCTGGTGTAAACACAGTATGTTAATTTCATCTTTTATCCAAAGCATAAGGGAATATCAAATTTATCTGAGGGTTGGAATCTGTAGACAATCTGCAGGAACATTGGGACAAGAAGCAGTACATCTCTGAGGCTCAATTTCCGCTGAGTACCTTCCATGTGCAAGGCACTGTTCTATGGCCATAAATGAGACAGACAGGGAACTTCTCTCCTGGAGCCTGACAATAATAATTTAAATACCACAAATGAAAGGATAACTTGTTGAGACAAAAGCTAAATATGGTGATTCAAAAGAGAATGATGGGGCTTAGAGGGAGTGTTTAGACAGGGCAAGAAGGGAGGTGACCACTGACCCGAGGCCCGAGGGATGAGAGGAAGCCAAACCTGGGAAGATCTGGGGGCTCCAGGAAGAGGAAACAGCAAGTGCAAAGGCCCTGAGACAGGAATGAGCTTGGCATATTTGAAGAAGTGAAATAACCAGGGGAGTAAGTAGCAAAGGGATCAAGGCAAGAGGTGAGATGGCAGAGGTGGCAGGAGACAGGTCACACCAAACCCCCTGGGCCACTGCGAAGACTTTGGATTTTATTCAGATGTCCTGGGAAGCAAGAAGTGGAAGGATCAGGTTTTAAAAGGCCTCTGTGGGTGCTGGGTAGAGAATGGGCTGTGGAGGATCCAGGAAGGAGGCTGCTGCCATCTCTGCTGTGTCCAGGTGAGAGATGATGCTGGCTTGGACGGGGTGACGGCAGTGGAGATGGGAGTGGCGAGGACTGGGGATGGCCCTCAGGCCTCCTGGCTCTGGGCCTGCTGACCTTTCCACTGCACCCCATGGTCAGTGAGCTTGTCTCCTCAGAGGGATTGAAAGAAACTCAGAGAAAAGCTGACATCTTCACATTATGGATTAATTCCCAACAGGTCAGTTGACCAAAGGCTACAGACCTGACCCTCAAGTCTACGTCCAGCTTATCCAAGAGTGCGAGTTCCTGGGGAGAGAGGGCGAGTTCTCCCCCTGCTTCACGGAGCTGCAGCGAGCCTTCCTGAGGGACCGTCCAACCAAACTGAAGAGCCTCATCCGCCTTGTGAAGCACTGGTACCAAATGGTATGGCATGTCCCATCCAGACAGAGAGCGGAGGAGGAGGAGGAGGGAGAGAAGGAAGAGAGTGAGGACAAGAGGAGGAGGGAGGGGTGGAATAGAGGGAGGGAAGGAGGAGGGGGAGGTGTGGGGAGGAAGCAAGGATGAGGCATCGGGAGGGGGAAGAAGGAAGGGGAGGGGAGGGGAGAGGAGTCGGGAGGGAAGGGAAATCACAACTCCATCCTTCCTGTTACTCTGGACAAAACCAAGGGTCATCCTTGACTTCTCCACACACACCCCCATCCAACCTGTCAGCAAATGATGTTGGTCCTGTATTAAAATATATTTATAATTCATCCATCGTCACCTCCTGTGTCACTCTCACCCTGGTCCAGGTCATCTTGAGAAGCTCACAGGATCTGCCCTCGACCTCTCTGAGCCCCAGTCTCTGCCCCCTCACCACCACCCCCAGGCTATGCTTTCCTCTTCATTAATCCTCCAGGAAGGAAACTCTACTCCAGCCTCGGGGCCTTTGCATGTGCTTATTTGTTTGTTTATTGTCTATTTCCCCACTAAAAATGTACAGGAGCAGAAGGATTTATATGTTTGAATCCCTGCTGTATCCCAGGGACCTAGAACAGTGCCTGGTGCGTAATAGGAGCTCAAAAAATAATTGTTAGATGAATTAATGAGTGCTACTACGTCCCCACGGCATCACCACACACACACACACACACACACACACTTCTGTTCACTTCCTAGGTGTCTGGCTTTGGACAAGTGAATTAACATCTCTGTGGTTCCTGTTTTCTCATTTGCAAAGAGTAACATGGCACAGCAATAGTAAATCACATACCGTGATATCTGGCATATAGTCGGTCCTAATAAATGTCCTTTCTCTGAGCTGCCACAGGAAAACACATCATAAAAGCTAACATGGATTGTGCACTAAGCTTATGCCAGATTCATCATATTTAAAATTTTGTGGATGTGATATTCATTTCTGTTTACTTTCAAATGTCCCATATCTTATTTAAGCATCATGGTGATTCTGCGACCTGGTTAAGGGTATTATTATTAAACCCCTTTTACAGAAAGAGAAACTAAGTGTCAGAAGACACTTTCAGCTAATAAACAGCAGAACAAAAACAAAAACAGCATTTGGGTCTTCAGACTGAAGAGTTTACTTAACATGTAATAAGCATTCTATATATATTTAGATGAATAAATTGAGTTAAAGAAAGTAATTAAGGATAAACTTCCTACTTTAAAAACATTTGCTAGACATCTCAATTTGCTCTGCAAGAATTTTGATCATGGCACTTGAGCGTTTTAGAACTTACAAAAGTGGTTCTTGACAAGTGCAACACTGCCCCCCAAGACATACTGAAGCTTCATAAAGGCATTTTTGTGATGTGGGATAAAGATGCTGCTGATAATGAGTGGAAAGAAGCCAGGAATACTAGTTGTTTTACAATGAGCAAGACAGTCCTACTCAGCAAAGAATTGTCTCTTTATTTCCTTTTTTCTCCTTTAATTCCTCCCTCCCTCCCTCGCTTCCTTCCTTCCTTCCCCTCTTTCTTTTTCTCTCTTCTCTCTTCTAGAATAATAGAGGAATCGTACAATACTTTAACTCCTCTAGCCCCATCATCACCACCTTTAACTTACATCCAACTTTTGTTGTATATTTTAAGTCTCTCAATATTGTCAAGTGCCCCAAAGCATTAGTATTGTTTTACAGAGCCAATGATCATTGAATCTACCCGCGTGTTTACTGCTTTCTTCACTATCGATTCTATGCTACCTCTCTCACCTTCCATCTGGGATTGTTCTTCTTCTTCCTGAAATATGCCCTTTAAGATTTCTTTTGGTGACCGTCTTCTGATAGTAAACATGTCAGTTTTTGTTTGTCTGCAAATGTCTTGATTTTCCCTTCATTGCTGTCAGGTATTTTTGCTGGATTGATATGCATTTCAGTACATTGGATATATCATTCCATCTTCCAGTGTTGCTAGTGAGAAATCAGTTGTCAGTGTCACTGTGGTGCCTTTGTAGGTAATCTATCTTATTTCTCTGGCTGCATTTATATGTTTCACTTTTACTTTGATTTTGTTTGGTTTCAAGCTGATGTGTCTTAATGATGATCCCTTTTTATTGGTCCTGCTTGGGGTTCATGGGGCCCTTCACTGGGATTCCTGAATCTGTGGATATCCTTCATCAGTTTTGGAAACTCTCAGCCATTCTCCTAAAATATTATCGTTCTCCCTTTCTCTTCTTGCCTCTTAGAACTCCCATAAAATGTATGTTAGACCTCCTCGTTCTCTCTTCCAAACCTCTATCCCCTGTTCTACATTTTCCATCTTTTTCTCTCTCCATGCTTTATTCTGAATAGTTTCTTCTAATTTACCTTCCAATCACTAATTTTTCCTTTAACTATGTCTATGCCACTGAGCTATTAGTTACATTTTTGTCATTTTTGTTCTAGGATTTCTATTTCATTCTTTTTTAAGTCTGCCATGTTACTTTTTCTGGCTTCTAGGTACCTACTATTTCAAATGCTTATATGTTTGAACATAATGTTCCTAGTTATTTTAAAGCCTGTGTTTAAATCTTCAATATTTAAAGTTTTGTGGATTTATTACTATTTTCTTTTTTGTTTTTGTTAGTCATCACTCTGGGTGTCTTGTTTCTTTGTGTGCCTGGATACTTATGTGATGGTCGTTGTACATGAAAGTTATCTGTGAAAGAGTTGGAGACTTTGGATTAAATATCTTCCTCCAGGGGAAAAAAAAAAAGTTTGCTTCTTTAAGCTCTTAGGAACACTACAAGTCCTCCCTCTCAGTTAATTTTCATAGTATCCTTCTGAGGAAGGTGCAATTATTACCATTCACTTGGCAAATGAGAAAAAATAAGGCTCCAAGAGTCTACATTGTCTGCTCAGAATCAGATAATGGTGGAGCCAGGATTCAAACCCACATCAGTCAGAATCCAGAGCGCAAGCCTTTAACCAGGGGTCAGTAAACTTTTGCGTAAAGGGCAAGTTAGCAAATACTTTAGACTTTATAAGTCACACGGTCTCTGTCACAAATACTCAACAATGCCTTTGTAGCATGAATGCCACCATAAACTACACATAAATGAATAGGTGCGGATTTGCTCTCAGAAAATTTTATACACAAAAACAAGTGGCAGGCTGAATTTGGTCCATGAGAAATGTGCTTTACACGAAAGCTAGAGAAACCCACTTTTCTGATTGTTTTTCCTCTACTCAGTGTAAGGAGAAGCTTGGGAAGCCGCTGCCCCCACAGTATGCCCTGGAGCTTCTGACAGTCTATGCTTGGGAGCAAGGAAGCATGGAAACAAGATTCAACACAGCTCAGGGATTTCAGACCGTCTTAGAATTAGTCCTGAAGCATCAGAAGCTTTGCATCTACTGGAAAAACTATTACAACTTTGAAAACCCTATTATTGGACAATACCTGAGAAAGCAACTTGAAAAACCCAGGTACTCTATCCCCAAATGGCTTAGCTCCCCACATAAATGAACCCCTGATTACAGCTGTGGCAGATTGGAAATGTAGGAAGTGGGAGAGTTCCACATTTATTGATCATCTTCTGGTACTAATCATTCTGCTGGGCACTTTACTACTACCCTCTAATTTTTTTTAAGCATTAAAAATATATATTTATTTTTGGCTGCTTTGGGTCTTCGTTGCTGCATGCAGGCTTTCTCTAGCTGCATCGAGCAAGGGCTACTCTTCGTTGAAGTGCACAGGCTTCTCTTGTTGCAGAGAACAGGCTCTAGAGCGCAGGCTCAGTAGTTGTGGCGCACGGGCTTAGTTGCTCCGCAGCATGTGGGATCTTCCCGGACCAGGGATTGAACCCATGTCCCCTGAATTGGCAGGTGGATTCTTCACCACTGCGCCACCAGGGAAGCCTTTCCATCTAATTTTAAAAACAATGTGCAAGCAACCCTGTGAGGCAGGCACTATGCTACCTGCTTTACAGATGACTAAACCAAGATTCTGAAAGGTAAAGAGCTTGTCCAAAGCTTAACAAAAAATGAGTGAAACAGCTGAAATTTCAACTAAAATAACAACAGCTGCAGCAACAATAATAAGTGCTCCCAGGAACTAAGAGCTTGCTATAAGACTAACACACTCTAATAGCATTGTAAAAATTATGATTATTGTAACTGCCATGTATTGACCCCTTATTATGTCCCAATTACTGTGCTGAGCATTTCACATGCTTGTCTAGATCCTCATACAACATCCTTTGAGGTAGGGATGTTCAATTCTTCCCATTTCACATATGAGGATACTGAGGATTAGAGAGGTCAAAAGACCTGCCCAAGGTCACACCCCTAATAAAGGGCAGAGGTAAGATTCAAACAGAAGTCTATGAAAACCCAAATGCAAGGCTCCTCCCTCTGTTCACTGTGCTCCTTAGGGCAGGGCACCCAGGACACACCCCAGGGAGCAGTGCCCTGCTGGACCCCTCCTGCTGCCCTGAGTCCCAGCCTGTGCCAGGCTGGTACTTTTCTCTTCCAGAAGCATCTAGACCCCCCAGACATAGCCCAGCTTCTCACCTATTCTCTCTCTAAATATTGCTCTTCAGGCCTGTGATTCTGGACCCGGCTGACCCTACAGGAAACGTTGGTGGTGGAGACCCACTTAGCTGGCAGCGGCTGGCACAAGAGGCTAGAGCCTGGCTGAGTTACCCATGCTTAAAGAAATGGGACGGGTCTCCAGTAGGCTCCTGGGATGTGTCGGTGAGACCTTCTGCTTCTTCCCTGCCGTCCTTCCCCCACCCCCTCCACACAGCATGGGGCATGTAGATAGAGACCATTCTTTCCTAAGAAATTGCCTCTTGCTAGAGGTCACTCACATTCATATAGTGTCAGGCTGTGCTCTCTATTTTACAATCATTTTGGCCCCATACAGAGAGCTCCTGGACTTCTCACATCCCTCCCCCAGAGTTCATTCTTTAATTAATGCCTCCTTGTCTGGAAGTAACTTTTTTAACAGCTCCAGTTGGCTCATTCCACTAAGAAGAAAAATAAACAATAACAACCACCACTTAATAAATACCTGCTTTGGGCTCAGGTTCTGTTCTAAGCCCCTTAAATTTCATTATTTCATTAAATCCTCACAACACCCCATGAGATATGTTTTCTACTCCCATCTTGCAGATGAGAAAAGGAGGCTCAGAGAGGTGAAGTCACCTGCTCAAGGCCACTCAGCCAGGGAGTGGTAGAGCTGGGATCCTAACTCGGTAGACTCCAACGCCAGTGTTTATTCCACTGAGCTAAGCATCCTGCCTTGTATCCCCTCCCCCCTCAATATCATGTGACAAATGAGCGACTCAGAGCAGCTGAGGACTTGGGCATGTCACCCAGCTAAGTAGGTGCTGAGGGTCTGATCTTCCCACTCCAAGAGTAGAGATCTTTCTCATGCCGGGGTGGGGAGGGTTGATGATGTCATAGATGGGTTTCCTAGGAAACAGACTCTGGGATGAAGTTTATGTGCAGGATGTTTCAGGGGAGGACCATTGGATCCAACACCTGTGTAAAGGAGGGGAATTAAGCGGGTACCAGCACAGGGAGAGGTGCAGCTGGGGAGCCCTGGAGCTTCAACGGCCTTCAGAGTTGTCCTGCAGAAGGCTGAGGTGGCAGGTCTTTTATACCCTAACATGGATCAGCCACTGAATGGACAACTCAGGAGGGGGTGTGTCCTTCCTCGAAGGGGATCCAGGTGGCACATCACAGTGTCCACCTGTCCACCATAAATGTTCCCTGAGAACCAGTGCCAAGGTGGGAGGCCCAGCTCTCCAGTGTGACCATGTGCTTCACCCTTTCAGCCCCAAGACCATAGTGACCTGATGTGCGAGGACTATGGTTTTAGACAGAGCTATAGAACCTCTCCGAGACCCACACTCCAGGGAGGAGCCCCTCCCCAGGTGGAAGAGAACTGGACATGTGCCATCCTCTGAACGCCAGAATCTCTTAAAGGCAAGGTCTCCGGGGCCATCTGGGCCAGACCTCTCATTTCTAGGGGCGGGGCGGGGGGCCTCAATCCCGAGAGGGCCATGAGTTGGTGTCAGACCTGGGTCCAGAATCCAGGTCTCCTGACCCCCATCCTTCCCGCCATTCTGTGCTCTCTCTTCTTTTACAGATAGCATTTTCCCACAGCTCCCTCCCCACCAGAGCCTGTTCTCCGACAATATCCTCTGAGAGGCAGCAGGAGAGACTCAGACAAAAGAGAGGAATCCCAGTCTTCACACTCTTCTCTGTACCTGGTGGGAGGGCTGTGGTCCAATTTATTGTCAGTAACAACAAAAATAGTAGCAAATACCATTTGTTGGGTGTTAATTAACCGCAAGGCACAGAGCCAAGAAGTATATCTGCATATTATATGTGTGTGTGTATGTGTATGTGCGTATTCATTGATTCAACTTAAAATATTAATTGAGCACCTGCTATGTGCCAAGCATCGTTCTGGGCACTAGAACATAGCAATGAGCAAAGCAGACAAAAACCCCTGCCTCATGGAGCTGACATTTTGTGGAATATTCTACTGTTGGATAGACTAGGATCCTTCCAAGTTTCAATTACAGGTAATCCCGAGACAAACATCTTTGGTTCACCCTTTGTCCACATCTCTGATTATTTATCCAGGAAAAGTTTTAGAACTGCCCTGTGTAATACAGTAGTCACTATTGAGCACTTGAAATGTAGCTGGACCCAATCGAGATGTGCTAATCTTTATACTTTTATGAATTTTCAGATTTTATTAATTTTTGGCCATAAGTTTGTACTGTTTGTATGACCACAAGAAACAATAAAGCAATGTTTCTTGCACAAAAAATTTTAATAAGTATTTCTCTCAGCTGAGCTCTGGTAGTTTGTGCAAAGCCAGCCGGCCCAGGTTATAGAAAAGTCTGGGGCACTAGTATTGGGAGCTGTTGGTTCAAGTCCAAATTCATGAGATTTGGAAACAGAGGAGCACCTGTGTAAGGGATGACGGAAATGCTGGAATGAAAATTGGAGCACCGGAGCCATAAATTTTTGATTCCCCGGAGAGAAAACCCCATTCTGGGCAGTTCCTTCTGGGAAAACAAAAACCGGCAGATCTAATGTTTATCCAAAGGAGATAAGGGTGGAGTCCCTCCCTGCACCCCCATTTGAAGAACCACCTCGCTGCAGCCCATAGCAGCTGCACCATTTACATCCCCTTCAGCAATAAATGGGGGGTTCAGTCTCTCCACATCTTTGCCAACGCTTTGTAATTCATGATCATTTTGATTATCACCATCCTAGTTGGTGTAAAAGAGTTATATACTCTCAAAATAATTGGGCCTGCTAAGCAAGGTCAAGACCCTACCTGGGAAAGAATGGGACCCTGACACATAGACTGCGGACATAAGAGTGGAAGCCCCTGAAAATCTTGAATCCCCAGACTCCTCTGAACCTGGGGTTCAGAAATGTCCCATCTACCCCTTCTGTTAAAAGCTAGCACCTCCCCCCTTGCAAGGAGACTCTGCAGAGGTCTCTCTTCCATAAGACCCCGCAGGACCGGCACCCACTTCCCCTCCTGCCCACTAGGACTGAGTAGGGTCGAGTCCCAAAATAGCCCAGCCGGGGGCGCGCTGGGCCTGCTGAGGGAGGGATGGACCTATATCCCAAACAGCCAGAAGACCCGGTCAGCATGTAGTAGCAAAAGTCAGGTGGGTGTGTGTGGAAGTGACCCCGAGGGCACTTGATCAAGAGGCTACAGTGTCAGGTCAGATGCGGAAGAGTTTATTGACTTGGAAGTCCCCTCCTGGAATTCAGGACTTCACACCCTGGCAAGGACCCCAGGAGACCGTGCAGAGTTGCTGTTAGCCAGGCTCTTAGAATGGAAAAAGTGAGAGCCTCTGCCGGGTGAGAACAAAATGCTGATATTCCCATGGGAGATGGTGGAAGATGGGATTCAAAGGTCAGGGAAGTGGATATGCTTGGGTGGATGTGCTATATAAGTCCAGAAAAGCCGCCAAATTATCTCCCGTGGAAAAGCAGAGAATACAACGTTACCAAGGCCATAAAGAATACGCCAGTGAGAGGACTCAGCATCACTAAGAAGCTCGGGTGGCCTCCTCCATAGAAGATGCTGTCACAGGCCTCCTAACAGCACTGGGGATGGTAGAACCCCGAAATCATAGCGGCCATGAGACAACACTTACCCGTGACGTGGACACACTTCTCTTCGTGAGTGGTAGGGTGGAGGGGCAGTCAGGATGGCCTGACCCACAGAGAATTAAGGAGCTGGTCATAAAATATGGTGTCCCTGGGACCAAACTAACTGGGCCACAAATGAGGGACGCTCAATCTGCCCCATCAAACTACTTCAAGGATGGACCATTAGAACACTGAGAGATTCCCCCAATAAAAAGTCACCGTCCCTTTCCCAGTGGCTTCCCAGGAGACCCATCTCTGACACGTGACATCTAAATGTAACATGATCCTAGATTTGGGGGAGGGGGGGTTGCTATAAAGAACAACATTGGAATAACTGGTAAAAATTGAATATAAGAATATATCCATTGTATGTGCTATAAGGGATGATAGCGTTGTATCAAAGGTACAATTCTGAATGGGGTTGTCATTCTGTGTTTATGTAACAAGATACCCATATTCTTAGGGGATACATATGGAAGTATTTAAGAGTAAAGGGGACTGGGTGATTCTGATGTGTCCATGAAGGTTCATCACTTGTAACCAGTGTCCCACTCTCCCACTCTGCTGGGGGATATTGGTAGTGGGCAAGGCTGTGTGGCTGGGGGAGGGGGAGGAGGCGGTATACAGGAAATCTCTTGGCTTCTGCCCAGTTATCTGCAACATGCACTCAAATGGCTCAGTAATAATGATACTGATACATAGAGAATGAGGAGCAAATGTGGTGATTTTCAGGATGAAGGATATGAGAGAGTTCTTTGTGTTTCAAAAGATTTCAAAATAAAATATTTTAAAAATAAAAATAAAGCATAGACTTTGGAAAACGGGTAGTTAGAACCTAGTCAGACAACTTACAAGCTGTGTGACCTTGGGCAAATTTTTTCAGCTCTCTGAGCCTCTATGTTCTTATCTAGAAAAGAAGGCTTATGACCTCTGCCCACCCCGCCTACCTCTAGGTGTTACAGTAGAAGTCAGATAAAGGCAGGGAAGGGCCCTTAATGCGCAGGTGTGATAAGCAACTTTCTCCAGAGAAACTGAACAGTGAAAATGAACACATAAAGGGAAACCTCATTTTAAGTGGAGTCAGGAGACCAGAAGGGGGCGCTCTCACACACCTCAAGTACCACCGTAATTCAGTCATAGGAAAGACAGTCAATCAACAGACCCCAACAAGAAGCATCAACAGGAAAAAACTGTCGATGACAGGCCTGGACAGGAAAGATGTACATTGCATGTCTTGGAGGAAACCGACTACCCTGGCAACTAAGCCAATCACCTGTCATCAGCCTGAATTCTTGCTTTTCTCCAATGGACTCTCATTCAAAACAACCCCTCCCAACTTCCTCCTTTTTCTCTATAAAATAATGTTCCTCTTCTTTGTTTGTTGGACTTGCCTATGGCTTATGCTATAGCCTGCTTGTCCCAAATTGAAATTCTTTGCTGTTCCTGAATAAAGCCATTTTACTGGTAAAATAACTGGCTGTTTTACTTTTGAGGTTAACAGAACTATAGGTTTTATAGATCTAGATTTAGAGAAAGATTTGTTTTAAGGAATCGGCTTGTGCCATTGCAGGGGCCAGCAAGTCCAATTTCTGCAGGGTAGGCTGGCCGGCTGGAAACCCAGGGAAGCACCTGCTGGTAGAGTTCCTTCTTCCTTGGGGGAGATCAGGCCTTTTTCTTTTTTTTTTTAATTGATATTTTTGGCTGCATTGGGTCCTTGTTGCTGCTCACAGGCTTTCTCTAGTTGCGGCGAGCAGGGGCTATTCTTCATTGTGGTGCACGGGGTTCTCATTGTGGTGGCTTCTCTTGTTGCGGAACACAGGCTCTAGGCACACAGGCTCAGTAGTTGCAGCACGCAGGCTCTAGAGTGCAGGCTCAGTAGTTGTGGCGCATGGGCTTAGCTGCTCTGCGGCATGTGGGATCTTCCCAGACCAGGGCTCGAACCTGTGTCCCCTGCATTGGCAGGCAGATTCTTAACCACTGTGCCACCAAGGAAGTCCCCAGGCTTTTTTCTATTCATGCCTTCACCTGATTGGATGAGGCCCGCCCACATTATAGAGAGTAATCTGCTTTCCTTGAAGTTTATTGATTTAAATGTTGATCTCATCTCAAAAATACCTTCAAAAAAAGATCTAGAAGACTGTTTGACCAAATATCTGAGTACCATGGTCCTAGCCAAGTTGACACAAAATTAATCATCACAACAGAGAAGGGGGTCTGCTTCTGTCCCACCTTGGAGATGTTTGCCTTCTGTGTTACAGAGGAAGCCAGTGGGAGCTGCCTGGGAGTTTCATTTTCATGGTCCTGGACACAAGAGTTGCACGTCTGTCTCCCCTCTGGCCTGTGTGCTCCTGGGCCTGTTTTCCTTCCTTGCTGGGTGGGGTAAGTGCCCGATGAAACCTGGCAGGTGTCCATGTGTGTGCTGAGGAACTGGGCACACAGACACAGACCTCTTGGGACCTGTGTTTGCTCGGTGGCAGAACTAAAACCCGAGTGGCTGAGCCCTTGCCTTGCTGTGTGTCCCTGAACAAGTCAACGCCCTCTCTGGGTCTCTTTCTCCTCACTGTTCTCATTAACTCTGAGTTCCCAGGCCATTGGGAACAGGGAGAAGGGGAAAGAGCCTCAAAAGATGACCTCTGGGAAAATAATCTAAAAAAACTATATATAGATATAACTGAATCACTTTGCTGTATACCTGAAGCTAACACAATATTGTAAATCAGCTATACTTCAATTAAAAAAACAAGAAAAACAAAAAAAGAAAGGAAAAAAAAAGAAAAAAGATGACCATTGGCCCCCTATGAAGTTATTTGCTTAACAAACACTTTACAGCTCCAGCCATGTGCCAGGTCCTGTTCTAAGCACTTTGCAAGTCTTTAATCCTTGCATTAAGCCTGTGAGACAGGTACCATTATTATCCCCATTTTATAGATGGGGAAATCAAGGCACAAAAAGGACTGGCAATGTGCTCAAGGACACAGATGTCGCATGTATCAAGCCCTCATAGTCCAGCTCCAGAGGCTGCATTTTTTTTTTTTTTTTTTTTGCAGTATGCGGGCCTCTCACTGCTGTGGCCTCTCCCGTTGTGGAGCACAGGCTCCGGACGCGCAGGCTCAGCGGCCATGGCTCATGGGCCCAGCCGCTCCGCGGCACGTGGGATCTTCCCGGACCGGGACACGAACCCGCGTCCCCTGCATCGGCAGGCGGACTCTCAACCACTGTGCCACCAGGGAGGCCCTGGAGGCTGCATTTTTAACCGCCAGTATTCCTTGAGAGCAGCTGAAAGGCTGATCATCACAGCTTGGGGGAGGGCAAAACCCTGGATTGAGGCAGCCGGCTGGGAAGGTTCTGTGAGTTTCCTTTTCCCCAGACATGAGTTTCGGTTTCAGTCTCCGGGCATAGGAGTTCCTCATTCTCTTCTGCCTCCAGCTCTGCCATTAGCTGTCATCTCAGCAGCCAGCCAGAGCAATGGGAAACTGGGAGTCCCATCTCTACGAACGGCCTGCCCAGAAACTGGGTGAGTTTACCCAGGACAACCTGAGGCCCTTTGAAGACTGTCAGAAACAGATCGACCAGACCGTGGACACCATCTGTGCAGTCCTGCAGGAAGCTGAGTAGTTCCCCCTGGTGACCGGCGTGGCCAAAGTGAGTAGAAGGCTGGGGTCAGGGCTTCTGGGACCCAGAAGGCAGAGCGACTTGGTGCTGAGCACCTACCGTGTGCCGGGCCCTGGGCACACAAGAGACCATCTTGTCTAGCCCCACACTCGTGTGAGATGGTGGGATATGGTGTAGAGTTTAGTAGTACAGGTTGGGGAGCCGGTTCTACCCCTTACTACTATGTGACCCAGGGCAGGTTGTTTAACCTCTCTGTGCCTCAGTATCTGAATTTGTAAAATGGGAGAGAAATAATACTCATTGCAAAGTGTTATGAGGCTTAAGCACATAATGTTCTTGCACAGGGCATGGTACCAAGTTAGTGCAGTAAATTAGCTGTGGTTACTTTTATTGTTTTTTTTTTTTTTTTTACTTTTATTGTTTTTATTCTCCCCATTTTACAGGGGAGTAAACTGAGTCTACAAGACTTCAGTAAAACTACCCAAGGATGCTCTGTGTCTTCTCAACAGCAAGGGGTGGGGAGCTGTCATCAGTTAGAAATATTTGGTGCTATGGGCACAAACCCCAGGGTTGAGCCTGAAGATTCTGGACCTTTGGGGAAGAAAGGGTGCTGGGAAGGGGCCAGGACCCTAGGGTGGGGAGGGGCTTACGGATGCCCACCACAAACCCCATGCTCTCCGGCACCGGAATCCCACTTCTCTGTAGTTACAGTGCTTTCTGGCCTCTGCCCTTACACACACCCACTAGCCCTAGCAGCAAAGATACCTGGACACTTGGTGTCTCCTACCTTGGCCCAGATGAGGAAACTGAAGCGTGGAGAAGTTATTTAATAGTTGGCATCTGACCTGGGATTTTAAGCTCAGATAATCTGTTTGGGAGCATGCACCCTTAACCACTATACCATCCTACCTCTCAATATTGTTAACTTTTTTCTAATTAAAATATTAATAATACATACAAAAAGTGCACTGATCTAAGTGTACAGCCTGATGGATTGCCACAAACAACATACATGTGTAACCTACACCCAGATCAAGAAATAAAATATTCCCACCCCCGACCCAAGAGCCCCTGAACCCCCCATCCAGTCGCTACCCCCAACCCCAGGCAACCACTCTCCTGACTTCTGACAGCATAGCATAGATTAGTTTTGCCTATTTTTAAACTTTGTATAGAGTGACCAACCATCCCAGTTTGCCCGGGACTGAAGGGTTTTCTGGGACATGGGCCTCTTGGTGCTAAAACTGAGCATGTCCAGGGTAAACCAGACAGGTTGGTCACCCTGTATAAAAGAAATCATGCACTGTGTGGCTTTAGTGTGTGGGTTTTTTTGAGCCATCTGTTGACGAAATTTATGTTGTTGTGTGCAGCTGTTGTTTATCATTTCATTGCTGTCATGTGTTCCCTGTATGAATACACCACATTTGTCCATTCTACTGCTGATGACCATTCGAGTTGCCTCCCGTTTGGGGCTCGTAGGAAAAGTGCTGCTATGGGGCTTCCCTGGTGGTGCAGTGGTTGAGAATCCGCCTGCCAATGCAGGGGACACGGGTTCGAGCCCTGGTCCGGGAAGATCCCACATGCCGTGGAGCAACTAAGCCCGTGTGCCACAACGACGGAGCCTGCGCTCTAGAGCCCGTGAGCCACAACTACTGAGCCCACGTGCCACAGCTACTGAAGCCCACGTGCCTAGAGCATGTGCTGCACAATGAGAGAAGCTACCGCAATGAGAAGCTGGTGCACCACAACGAAGAGTAGCCCCCGTTCGCCGCAACTGGAGAAAGCCCCCGTGCGCAGCAACAAAGACCCAACACAGCCAAAAATAATAAATAAGTAATACAATAAATAAATTTATTTTTTAAAAAAGTGCTGCTATGGGTATCCTGATTCAGTTCTTTGGGTGGACAAATGAACATCTGCCACTCCGCTTTTAGACTCTGTTGACATCTGAGGCTTTTGCTTGAGGTGAGAAATATTTCTGCCTGTCGGGGTGCCCTGTGACCCCAAAGGGTTCAGAGTCTCACATCCACTTCTCTGTTGCTGGCAGAGTGGCTCCTATGGCCGGAGAATGGTCTTGAGGGGCAACTCCAATGGCACCCTCGTCATCTTCATCGGTAGCCTTGAACAATTCCAGGATCAGAAAAAAAGCCAACATGACCTCCTCTGGGCACAGTTGAAACGCTGTGAGCTCACGATGAAGCTGGCAGCCAAGTGGAGATCCAGAGCATCAGTGGCAAGCTCACCATCCAGCTGTCCACAGAACAGCAGAGCATCACTTTCGAGATGCTGCCCGCCTTCAACGCTCTGGGTGAGCCCCCCCGTGTGTGGGTGTGTGTGTGTGTGGAGGTTCAGGTCTGGAGGGGCTTGTCAAGAGAGCAAAGCCAGAAAAAGGGGTGGTAGATAGCCTGGCATCTGAATAAATACCACTGGTGCTTTCCAAAATGAGGGACCGTAGACTTTCCCTCCTTCCTCTCTTTCCCTCTCTCTCTTTCTCTCTCTCTCTTCCTTCCTTTCTTTCTTTCTTTCCTTTCTTTCTTTTCTCACTGTGTGGCATGCAGGATCTTAGTTCCCCTACCAGGGATGGAACCTGCACCCCCCGCAGTGGAAGTGCGGAGTCTTAACCACTGGACCACCAGGAAAGTCCCGAGAGACCGTTGACTTTCAAAAGAGGAGATTCCTCCTACCCTGAGCTTACTCTCTTCTGTAGAATTTCTCCCTTATCTCCTAGTTGACTTTGGAGGAAATGTTCTAGACTCTGGAGTAGAGCATCTCAAACTGTGACACGCACACAAAGCACCTGAGAAACTTGTTAAAATGCAGGTTCTGATTCAGGAAACTGGGGTCCAGGATTCTATATTTCTAACCAGTGCCATGATATTGCTGCTCTTCTGTGGACTACACTGGAGGATTTAGACTAGAATAAATGCTGGTTAGAGGTAGAGGATGGGGCAAACATCTGGGAAAAGTTCAGCTGGAGCAGGTATTTGGAATGTGCCTCTAATCAGGTCAACATCAAGGCAAACATCTTCCATGGGCAACTGTTTGGATGGATGGATGGATGGTTGACTGGATGGATGGATGGATGGTTGATTGAATGGGTGAGACTAAGCATAGTCACAGCTTAGTCTCAAGCATAGGTACATATATTATCACAAACTTAAATACTAGAGCTGAAATTCAACCCCTCATTAAACAAGTGAGGGGCTTCCCTGGTGGCACAGTGGTTGAGAGTCCGCCTGCCAATGCAGGGGACGCGGGTTCGTGCCCCGGTCCGGGAAGCTCCCACATGCCACGGAGTGGCTGGGCCCGTGAGCCATGGCCGCTGAGCCTGCACGTCCAGAGCCTGTGCTCCGCAACGGGAGAGGTCACAACAGTGAGAGGCCCACGTACCGCAAAAACAAACAAACAGACAAAAAAAGAAAGAAACAAGTGAGGAAGCAGAACGAAATGAATGTGTCCAGGGCCACACAGCCAGTTACTGACAGAACTAGAATAAAAGCCCAGGTCTTTTAAGCCCCAGGCCCAGTGCCTTCAAGGTGGACACACACACACACACACACACACACACACACACACACACACACCCTGACGACTTACATTCACAGAAAGGTGACCTAGTGCAGAGAAAAATGCACCAGTTTGCAAGGTAGGCAGACTTGAATTCTCATCCTGGTCTTACTACTAACCCACTTCTGCCAACTGTAAGATCAAGGCTAGAAACAGCTAACTTGCAGGACCTTTAGGATGATAAGGGTTGAGTATACGTGCCTGACTCAAAGGAAGGCTGGACTCAAGGTGAAGAGACAGACTCAGTGTGACTCAGAATTCCTAGGAAATCCTATGTTCTGTCCTCTGGTTCAGAGCACGGTGGCTGGAGATTAGGCCAGAGCGTCCTCTGCTGGCTGCACTCCATCTCGCAAAGAATGATGTGAGAACGAGAAATCAGCTCTTCCTCACATGTAGTACCGAGAAGCTGCCACCAGATAGCGGCAGAGCTACACATTCCAGACATAACCGTTCCTAGACGGAAACGATAATGGTCGCTTTCTGAGAAAAGTAAACTACTGAGAAATTTTTAAATTACTTTCTGTACTAAATATTAGCCTAACTATATTTTATTATCTAGCAGGACAAGCCACCCCTCACCTTTTATGCAAATGCACCAGTCCTCTTACAGATGAAGCAGTGAACGTGTGCTACCAAACCACATCCAGCCTTCTTTGTGGGCTCACCCAGGCCAGGTTCCATGAAAACCAAAAGTTCTGTTTCTGTTTCACACCAGGCTTAAGTGAGAAGCCCAGCCTCTGCACCTATCGAGAGCTCAAAAGATCCTTGGATATGGTGAAAGCCAGCCCCGGTGAGTTCTCAATCTGCTTCACTGAACTCCAGGAGAAGTTTTTTAGCAACCATCCCAGCAAGCTGAAGGATTTGATCCTCTTGGTAAAGTACTGGTGTCAAAAGGTAAACTTCAAATTGCATGTCTATTGCTATTATCCGTTTCCCTTTTACTGAGATAACTCACGTTTGGTAAAGTACAACAATGTTAAGAATACAGCTCAGGGATTTCCTGGTGGTCCCATGGTTAAGATGCTGCCCTCGCAGTGCAGGGGGTGCTGGTTCCAACCCTGGTGGGAGAACGAAGATCCCACATGCCATGTGGGCAAAGAAAAAAAAAAAAAGAATACAGCTCAATGTGTTTTTATAGCCTTTCAGGAAACACCCAGATCAAAATAGGGCACATTTCCTGCGCTCCAGCAGGATGCCCACTCCCAGTCCATGCTCCCCCCAAACAAACCACTATACTAACATCTGGTACCACAAATTAGTTTCGCTTGTTTTTAAACTTGATGTCAATGGAATCATGCTGCGTGTACTTCGTGTTTGCCGTCTTTTGCTCAATATTATGCCTGAGAGATTTGTCTGTGTTGTGGCAGGGAGTAGTGGCTCTTCATTGTTTTGTACTATTCCATTGCATTAATACACTGTACATGGATGCATTCTACTGCTGAGGGACACGTGGGCCATTCCCGAATTGGGGCTATTATGAATTAGGTTACAGTGGATATTCCCCTACATGTCTTTTTGTGAATTTAAGCAGTCATTCCTCTTGGGTAAATATGCAGGAGTGAGACTGCTGTGCTATAAGGTATACTTTATATATGTATGTGTGTGTGTGTATATATATAGATATATACATATATACACACACACACACCTTATATATATACACACATTACATATATACATTATATATACCTTATCTGTGTATATATACATATATGAATATATATGTATATGTGTATACATATACACATGCATATATGAATAAATTTGTGGAATATATATATATATATATATATAACTTTAGTAAATACACCCAAATAGTTTTCCCAAATGGTTGTACCAAATCACACTCCTGTCAGCAGTGTATGACAATTTCAGGTGCTCCACGTTCTTATCAACACTTGTTGTCGGTCCATCGAATTTTAGCCATGATATCATTTCAATCATTGACAGGGGACATTGACTTCCTATAGACTTCTAGTTTCTTTTTTTTTTTTTTTTTTGCGGTACGCGGACCTCTCACTGCTGTGGCCTCTCCCGTTGCGGAGCACAGGCTCCGGACGCGCAGGCTCAGCGGCCATGGCTCACGGGCCCAGCCGCTCCGCGGCATGTGGGATCTTCCCGGACCGGGGCACGAACCCGCGTCCCCTGCATCGGCAGGCGGACACTCAACCACTGCACCACCAGGGAAGCCCCGACTTCTAGTTTCTTGATTTCAGACCCCTGGCATGGGCGGAACTGGGTTCCAAATTATCTGCTACACTTTTCTCCTTCCACAGTGCCAGGAAAAGCTGAAGGATTCATCCCTGCTGCCCCTGTATGCGCTGGAGCTGCTTACGGTCTATGCCTGGGAACAGGGGTGTGGAGCAGAAGACTTTGACATAACTGAGGCATCAGGACTGTTCTGGAGCTTATCAGGAAGCAGGAGCAGCTATGTGTCTACTGGACAGTCAACTACAACTTTGAAGATAAGACCGTCCGCAACATCCTGCTGGGCCACCTCCGATCCCCGAGGTACCAAGCTTCCCACAGCCCTCTCTCCTTACCTCTTTATCTACATGCCAGGCTGTACCCCCTTAGAATGAGGGTGCATCCCTGTCTTTCCCAGCCAAGCATGCACCAAAAGAATGCCAGCAGCAGTGGGTAGGGAGGCAAAGAGAGGTCTGTCTGAAAGAGGGACACTTCGATGCTTTTCACATTCTAAACCATTGTCACATTTTGTCCCAAAGCAAACACTTCCCCTCACAGAAGGAAGGGGCAAAGAGAGGAGGGGTCAGCAGAAAGAGGAGACCGTTTTACTAGGTTATGAATGGAACACGCCTGTAAAGCAGAGGACACTGGACACAGAGAACGCCAGGACCAGAGAGGCTAGACATCTCAGACAGAGCACGTCAGCAATTGGGAGGAACTGCAGGAGGTAAAAATCCAGGTTTCCAGATGCCCAGTCCAGGCCTTTTGCCCCCAAGATGATTTCTTCTCCCAACTGATTTTTTTTAATCAAATTCATAGGCCAGTAATCTTGGATCCAACTGACCCAACCAGTAATGTGAGCAAAGATAACACCTGCTGGCAGCTGCTAAAACAAGAAGCTCAAACCTGGTTATCTTCTCTCAGGCTGAACGAGTCACCTGGACTGTCCTGGAATGTTCTGGTGAGAGGGCTTTCAATATAGCTCGTGTCCTGCTGCAGGCAGGGTCCTCCCGATACTCAGACTGCAGTCTTATCCAAGATCACTGTGAGTTGGTTTCCCAGAGATGCCATGACAAAGCACCATGCACTGGTGGCTTAAAGCAACAGAAATTTACTCTTTCACAGTTTTGGGGGCTAGGAATCCAAGATCAAGATGTTGACAGGGCCATGCTCCCTCTGAAGGCTCTAGGGAAAAGTCCTTCCTCACCTCTTCCAGCTTCTGGTGGCCGTTCGCAGTCCGTGGCTTGTGGCAGCAACACTCCAATCTCTGCCTCTGTTGTCACATGGCCTTCTCTTGTGTGTCTTCACAATGTCCTCCCTCCAGGCATGTCTGTCTCTGTGTCTCTCTCCTCTTCTTATAAGGACACCAGCCGTACTGGATTAGGGACCACAGTAATGACCTCGTCTTAACTTGATTACCTGTTTGCAAAGACCCTATTTCCATATAAGGTCACATTCATAGGGCCTAGAGGTTGGGACTTCAACATATCTTTTAGGGGGACACAATTCAGTCTATAACACACCATTAGGGACCTCCCCTTCCATTAAAATGATAGTAATGTGCAAAATTGAACAAAGAGAAAAGGCGGGCACCTGCAGATGAGAGATTTCAATTAGTTTCTGCAAGAGAGAAAGCAGGTGAGAAGGTGGTGACAGATGAAATGGAGCAGAGCCCAAGAGACGTGGGTGGCAGTCACCCCTGCGGATGCTGGGACAACCTCTGAGCTCTACTGAAGCAGGCGTTGGGGGCGAGAGCGAGAAGTGAGGCTGCAAATGGGAGAACTAATGAAGGGCCAGATGCATTGGTTTTTCCCCTCCCATCCCCCAAAGGAGAAGCACATCTATCAACACAAATTTGATTATATCTGCAAAGTCCCATTTTCCATATAGGGTAACATAGTCATAGAGCAGGACGTGGACTTTGGGCGGGGGTGGGGGGTGGATATCACTATTCTCCCTCCCACTAGCAAGAAGTAAGCTGCCTCTGCAGACTGAGGCCTGACCAGAGCATGCAGAACAGGGAAGAAAAGATGCTCAGGTGAGGTGTCATGACCTGTGGTCCATGGAGCACATCCCATCTGATGTTTTCTACTGAAGAGGAGAGAACTTCACTTTTATGCAGATGTCAGACCCCATTTAGACATCAGAATATGGTTTCCTTCCAAAAGTGACCACAGATACAAGGGAGTGAGCAGGAGTGACCACAGTCCCATTGGATTAGAGAACAGGTAACTGTCCCTTCAGACTGAACACACAGCCCCTCTGACTCCAGGACAGCCCTTCTCTTCAACACACTTAGACGGAACAGCATCCCCTGGTGTGGAGGGTTGAATAGTGTCCCGCAAAATTCATGTCCACCCGGATCCTCAGAATGTGACCTTCTTTGGAAGTAGGGTCTTTGCAGGTATTACCAGTTAAGAGGTCATCCTGGATCAGCGTGGACCCTGAATCCAATGACTGGCGCCCTTATAAGGAGACACACAGGGACACAGACACAGAAGGGAGAAAGCCATGTGACAAGAGAGGCAGGGGTCAGAGTGATGCAGCCACAAGCCAGGGAAGGCCGTGGACTGCCAGAAGCTGGAAGACACAGGAAGGATTTCCCCTAGAGCCTTGGAGGGAGCACGGCCCTGCCTACACTTTGACTGCAGACGTCTAGAAACGTGATTTGTTACGGCCGTTCAGGGAAACCAATCCACCGGGGCACAGGGTGTTTAACAGAGGCTGATAGAACCTTGAAAAAGGAATAATGTGATCATCAGAAGTCAAAAATACCTGTAATAAATGGGAAAATAAGGAAGGAACAGAGCAGTACGAGAAGCCAAGAGGTGCTGGCCATGTGTGGACGATCCCAGAACAGAAAGTGGAAGCTAGACAATAATTTGGAGCCAGGTCTTCACAGACCTGTTGGGAGAAGGATCCAGATCCCTTCTAGAGGGTAAGAGGAGCAACTAGGAGAGGTCCTGTTTCTGGGGGATCTTGGGTACCACCCGAAACTCTCAGGTATGCTCTTGGGATATGTCAATGCAAGAGCTCAGGATGACAAAGGTACCAGCAGGAGAGTTGAGAGCAGGAGGGAGAGTTGGGGGAGCAGAGCAGGCAGGGGAGGAAGCGGGGGGTGGGGGACAGGCGGCTGGCAGGGGGCGTCTCACAGCGGGCTCCTTCCACAGCCTGCGCCGCTCTACGTGACCCCAGGCCATCTTCTAGACAAGTTCATCAAGGACTTTCTCCAGCCCAACAGGACTTTCCTAGATCAGATCAAGAAAGCTGTTGACATCGTCTGTAAGTTTCTTAAAGAGAATTGCTTTCGACATTCAACTACAAAGTGTCAGAAGATTGTCAAGGTGAGCAATGGCCTTTCTCTTTGTTATTGGCGGGGACTAAGCTGTTCCTGTAACTCTGCAATGCTCGTGACCACTGGAAATGTGAGGACAAAGGGTGAGGGAGGGAAGCAGGGGAGATGGGCAACTAGGACCCTGGTTTTCAGTGGAGGGTGCTGATGCACTGCTTACGTCATTCGCAATAGATTTTGGGGGGGTGCACATTGTGTGGCCTGCGGCATCCTAGTTCCCCGACCAGGGGCTGAGCCCGGCCCACGGCTGTGAAAGTGCCGAGTTCTAATCACAGTAGACTTCTGATTCTGTGTTAACCTCCGAGAGCTGCCGGCAACGCTCGCCGGTGCTTGGCTTGTGGTGCATCACTCCAGTCTCTGCCTCCCTCTCCCCGTCCCCTTCTCCTCTGGGTCTTTCTTCTGTTCCCTTCTAAGAACACTTGTCATTGGGTTTAGGGCCCGCAGATCCCTAACTGAATTACATCTATAAAGACCCTTTTTCCAGATAACATCACATTCACACATGTTGCCAGCAGACATCTCTTTTGGGGGGGGGGCACCATTCAAACCACAGCAGATTCTAAGCTCCATGTGTATTAAACCAAAAAGTGACAGTCTTCCTAGTTTCAATTCATCCCATCAACTGAGCTAGAGATTCAGCAGATGGGGCCATTCTTGTCCAAGACTCCAAGGTCACGCGCTGACACACTTGCCTCCGTCTGTTGGCCACCAACCAGATAACTGTGTGTCCAGGGTCACAAGAAGGGAGGGAGAAAAGTGCTGACCTGTGAGCAAAAACATTTGCCGTGATGCAAAAAAAACAGATCTGTGTGCATGCTGCCCTGGGACGGGTCTGGGGACCAGTACCGACGTCCCACGCGCCATGAGTAAAATGTCTCACAAGGTTAATTTGAGGGAAAACAAGACTGGCTGTGTTCATGGTCAGTGAACCATTGTTGAAGCACTCATTTTGTCCTCTCCTTCCCCAGCCTCTCATTAACATGATAGTAAATAAATAAGAAACGTTAATGACACATCAAAGAAGAAAATAGGAAGAGAGCCTTTGGCCGATAAGAAGTTGCTTTCTATCTTCCTGAAGTTGGTTGCAAGAGTTGTCTGCTGAGGTGATGGGAGAGGTGCCACCTGGAGGATGCAGGGAGGGGGCTGTGGCCCGGGAGACCAGCTGCATGAATGAAGTGGCATGGGCCAGGGATTAATGGAGCATCTGTGTACAGGAAGCTCCACTCCCTCCCCTCGCCTCCTAGGCCACGTAGCCAGGCATTCGCTACCCATGGGTAAAATAAACATTGCTTTTGCAGAAATCAAATGAGCTTTCTGGGGAAAACCAGGAAAACATGCATGAGGGTTGATGCTCAGAGCAAATCCCACCAAGTTGTGGCATTGAGAGAGCTCCCTGCGAAGCTGGCTTCTCCCCGACTCACACTCAAAGAAGCCCATCAGCTAAGCAGCTGTGCCTTCAGGGAGAACTTCACAAAACAGACAGAATGAACCTGTGTGCCTGCCTAAGCTGCCTCGTGCAGAGCTTGGCAAGCCAGGGCCAGCGAGCTAAGAGTGGTTTTACTTTTTTTTTTTGTGGTACGCGGGCCTCTCACTGTTGTGGCCTCTCCCGTTGCGGAGCACAGGCTCCGGACGCGCAGGCTCGGCGGCCATGGCTCACGGGCCCAGCCGCTCCGCGGCATGTGGGATCTTCCCGGACCAGGGCACGAACCCGTGTCCCCTGCATCGGCAGGCGGACTCTCAACCACTGTGCCACCAGGGAAGCCCCGGTTTTACATTTTTACATAGTTGAAGAAGAAGAAGGAGAAGAAGGGAGAGGAGGAAGAGGAAGGGGAAAAGGAGGAGGATGCGGGGGAGAAAAGTGAGGAGCGGGAAGTAGAAGCTTATGTGGCAGAGACACACGTAGCCCACAAAGCCTAAAATATGTATCAGCTAATGCTTTACGGAAAGTTTGCCGACCCCTGCATCTAAATGATGAATATTCATCCAATGGTCCCCAGATTGCAGGAGGGAAGAGATGACGTCAGGCTTGCCTTAGTTTGATTTATTTCAGGTCACAGAAATTCAAATAAAGCTACATACTCTTTTTTGTCTGTTTGTCCAGAGTATACTGTAAATGGACATCTTGAGGACTGTATTTCATAAGATCAAGTATGCAGAGGGATCTATATAGTGTCTAACAGAGCACATTCAGCTGATATTAATACAGTGCCTTGTGTTTAAAATTTGCTCATTGCGTATTGATCCATTCGAATTTTGTTTTATCTAGGGGGGAAATTTTAGATTTTCACTATTGAGGATTTTTTTTCTCACTATGGTCTCTTTTTAAAATTTATTTATGTTTATTGAAGTATAGTTGCTGTACAATATTATATAAGTTACAGGTGTACGGTATAGTGATTCACAATTTTTAAAGGTTATACTCCATTTATAGCTATTATAAAATATTGGCTATATACCCCATGTTGTACAATATAACCTTGTAGTTTATTTTACTGCTAATAGTTTATACCTCTTACGTCCCCACCCCTGTAGTGCCCCTCCCCACTTCCCTCTCCCCACTGTAACCACTAGTTTGTTCTCCATGTCTGTGAGTCTGTAAAGCTACGTAGTCTTTACCAGAAATCTTTAGGAAGTTGACTTGAGAAGCAGGTCATTTATAACTAGCCCATCCATTGTTTGTGGGCAAATTCACACATCAAATGGCATGAGATGAGCCACCTTTGGAACCAGATGATTCTATTTCTTTGGAAAATGAAACACTCTGCTTCGGAATCAGCCCTAACTGGAGACTCGAACATGGCACCGCTCCCGGCAACCTCATTAATTAGCCCAACGGGCGCCAGCCCATGGGGGTGAGGGCTCAGGCTCTAGAAAATGCTTTATCTCCAGCTGCCTTTGCTTCCCTAGGGGGCGGGGGGGCTGGTCAACCGCCAAAGGCACGGCTCTGAAGAGCAGTTCCCATGCCGACCTTGTTGTGTTCGCGGACCCGCTGAAAAGCTACACCTCCCAGAAAAACGAGAGATGCAACATCATCAAGGAAATCCATAAGCAACTGGAAGCCTGTCAGCAGGAGAAGGATTTTGAAGTGAAGTTTGAGATTTCAAAATGGAAGGCTCCCCGGGTGCTGAGCTTAACTCTGAAATCCAAAGTCCTCAACGAAAGTGTTGACTTTGATGTGCTGCCTGCATTTAATGCCCTAGGTAAGACTCCTAAGATTTGAGCTTCTGGAAGAGGAAGAGGGATTCTGGTGTGATGGGGGGAGGTTGGGGGGGGGGGGAAAGAGGGAAAGTCACGTGACTTACTGATCGGACCAGGTCCAGTGCCCCAACAGGTGACATTCATAATGACAGCAATACCTTACACCTGTATACATTTTCATTCTCGTTTATTTTATCCCTACGACGGCCAGAACCCACATCTTACACTCCCATGGTGTCATTCACAACATCTATCAAAGAATGGGGTACACAGGAAGTCAGTACACATTTATAGATAAAATGCCTCAAGTAGTAGGGAAGGAAATGAAAAAACAGACTGTGGGAGAAATTCTGAGGCAAAGACAGGAAATCTGGGTGTTCGCCTTCCATCTTAGGCAAAAACTCCTTTAGAAATTCAATTCGTGAGTGACAGATACACAATGGTGTATTAAAAGAAACCAAGGAAGGGCTTCCCTGGTGGCGCAGTGGTTGGGAGTCCACCTGCCGATGCAGGGGACACGGGTTCGGTGCCCCGGTCTGGGAGGATCCCACATACCCCGGAGTGGCTGGGCCCGTGAGCCATGGCTGCTGAGCCTGCACGTCCAGAGCCTGTCCTCCGCAACGGGAGAGGCCACAACAGTGAGAGGCCCGCGTACCGCATTTTCCAAATCAAAATCAAGAAGACTCTGGTACCTTGCCTCTGAATGGTTCTTAGGGTCTTTAGAGAGGAAATGACAGTATATAGATAGGGGGTCAGCTAACTTTTCAAATGAAAGGCAAGATAGCAAATATTTTCAGCTTTAAGGACCATAAGGTATCTGTCACAACTGCTCAACTCTGCCTTTGTAGCTTGAAAACAGCCATAGACGATACATTAATAAGTGGGCGTGACTGTGTTCCGATGAAACTTTATTTACAGAAACAAGCAGGCGGCCAGATTTAGTCTGGGGGCCACAGTTGGCAAACTTCAAATCAGCACTGTCTAGAAGGCCTTTCTGGGATAACGAAAATGTCCTCTACCTGTGTTCTGTATCTACTGAGAGCTTGAAATGTTGCCAGTACGAGTAAGGAACTAAATTTCTCATTTGATTTTCCTTTAATGAGTTTGAATGCAAATAGCCACCTTGGCTGATGGCTACCCTGTTGGACAGTGCAGGTCTAGATAACGCTTTAATAATAAATACCACCTATACTCATATAAACCATGTAATTTTTAATATCTCATTACTCTGGAGATGCCCCTGATATCTTAGACATCAGTAATTCACATACACTAATAGAGTTCAAAATAATTTCCCAGAATTAAATTATAGTTGTCAACAGTGTTTTGAAATCTGTTACTTTCTATACAGATTAAAGCATAATGTAAATTTCTTCCCCATGTTAGGTGAACTGAAGTCTGTCTCTACACCCAGCCCCAGGATCTATGCTGACCTCATCTATTTGCCTAAATCCTCAGACGCCCTGGGGGGAGAATTTTCTACCTGTTTCACGGAGCTACAGCGCAATTTCGTTTGCTCCCGGCCCACCAAACTGAAGGATTTGATTCGCCTGACTGGTACAAATGGGTATGACAGCTCTTGTCCTGGCCACCTGGTTATTATTTTTATCAGTACCCTGTGACCATGAAACCAGCACTTGTGCTCACTGTCTCCCATGCTGGGGGCTGGACCACATTACAGAATCTTCCCATGCCTAACCCTGAGTATCTTTGTGGAGTTCCCATCACTAACCCCACTGAGATGGGTCAGATGTAAGCATCTCCTCCCAACAAAGCTGCCACACATGGTTTATTTTCCTTTTCCCTGACACCCAAAGAATTCTGCAGGAATCCAAGTTATCGTGCCTCCAAAGGGCAGATGAAGTTGGGATTTTCATGCCTGCAAGTCACCAGCATGGCTTATCTGCTGCTAGGTGTCCATAATTAATAGACACAGATGCTACCTCTTGGAAGGCGGGTTGAAGTGACAGGCAGCAGCAGGGGCTGCATTTTCTATACTGGTTCGCCTCCCTCCACTTCCATCCATCTTGCCACAGGGTAGTTTCTAAGTATTCTCATGACAGCAGACACCCAGCACGACAGCAGCTCTTTCAGGAGATGTCTCCTTTCTGTGTCCAGCTTCCTGAAACCCGAGGAGACTGAACCCTGTGGTTTCCACATCTACACCCAGCCCCAGGGTGCTCAGAGTGCTCAGGGCTGCAGGGTGACCTTGAGCAAGTCACTTCACTTCCCCATGACTTCAGCATAGCGACCTCTGCCCGCTGTGTAGGGATGCTGGGGGATCAGGAGTGAATGACGTAGGTGGAATGTCTGGCCCCATAATTAGCACACAGTGGGTCTTTAGTAAATGGTACTATGTTATAACTCTAGGACGGTACATACAGCCAAAGCACAACAAAGAAGCCTGCGTGGGCTGCCTTTAAGCTGCAAATTGACCCTTCCCAGACCAGTCCCAGCGCTGCGTCTCGAGACCTGGGTGCCCTACTCCGGCCCCAGCAGTCCTTCACGTGCACCCTCTAAGGCTCTTGCTACGCTCATTTCGCCTTCCTGCTTTAGCCAGTATCGTCTGATGTTCCCACTCTTCCCTCAGTGTGGAAGCAAACTGAAGCAAAAGGGGCCTCTGCCCCCCAAATATGCCTTGGAGCTGCTTACCATCTACGCCTGGGAGCAGGGGAGCGGGGCGCAGGATTTTGACACGGCTGAAGGTTTCCGGACGGTCCTGGAGTTGATCACAAACGAGCAGCATCTCTGTGTCTTGTGGATGGTCAACTACAACTTTGATGATGAGATTGTGAGGAGCTTCCTCCTGACCCAGATCCAGAGAACCGGGTGCCCCAAACCTCAGCCCCCTCCATTTCTTAACCTGATTCCCTCCAACGCTATTTTGGTGACCTGAATTCACCTCCCGTGGGGTCCTGATCCATTATTCCTCCTGTGAAACTGAGAAGGGAATGTGCTGACCGTCAGAACCGCCCACAGTCTCCAGGGGTAAAATCCCAGGGAGGCAGGAGAAATGTCATCAAGGAGGAACAAAGAAGGAAGGACCAAGGTACCAGGCCCCTGAGTTGCTTTCATCTTTCTAGGTCAGAAGGAAAAGCATGGATTCATTAGCAGGTCTAAAAGGTGTGGAAGTTGGAAGTGTGTTCCTGAGAAATAATGCTGTCATTCGGTGCTGGTGTGTCCTGCAGGCTGTTTATTAGATCAGGTTTTATCTCCCCTTTCCAACCTCCATCCCACAAAACCTTTATCCTTCAAGAATAGGAAGGAATCTTAGTGTATCCACTCAGCACCAGCAGCAGGGAACCAAAACAGTGGAAGCAAAAGAAAAGAGAAGAGAGAAAAGAAAGAAACATTGAGAAAGAATAGAGGAGAAAAAAAAAAGGACAACAAGATACCCTGGCTTGCCTACCGTGGGTGTGACCTACTTGACAGTAGAGTTGATTAAATGATACATTATATTTCAGTTGCCCTAGCGTGGAGAGATGTTTATAGAATGCCTTCATGTGTATAATAATGAACAGCTTTCAAAACTTTTCTGACAAATATGATTTAATTCTAGGAAATCACTTTGAACTGTATTGGTACATTTGAATTACGGATATCTAAGCTAGAAAGACACATTGTTTTATTACAAAGAGTAGAATGGGCCCCCAATTCTGAGGCCACTGGTTCTAAAAAGCATGCCTCTAATGGCTTCTAATCTCTCGTTTAGGCCTGTGATCTTGGACCCAGCCGATCCTACTGGCGACGTGGGTGGAGGGGACCGTTGGTGTTGGCATCTTCTAGCAGAAGAAGCTACTGAATGGTTGCTGTCTCTCTGTTTCAGAGACGGGTCGGGTTGTCCCATACAATCGTGGAAAGTGCCAGTGAGAATCATCTAAAGGAAGTGTCATCTGGAGATTACCCTGGGACAGGCTGAAATCAAAGAGCTTCCCTGCTATAGCAACTTGGGATTCACTCAGCCACAAATAACAGATAGCCCAACTCAGGAGCCTAAACGATTGGGTTTTTTCTTCCCATAAGAAGAAATCCTAAGGCAGGCAACCTAGGACTCGCACAACAGCTCCACTGGACTTTCCCCAGGAGCAGATCATCTCCACCGTGGCACTTGTTATTGGGGGCTGGATAGTTCTTCGTGGTAGGGGCTGTCTTGGGTAGTGTTAAGTCTCTACCCACCAGATGCAGTAGCACCAACCCCGAGTGCAACAACCAAAAATGCCTCCAGACAAGACCAAGGGTCCCCTGGGGCACACTCATCCCCAGCTCTTCCTGGCTCCACCCTCTTTAGTCGTTCATTTGAGTCTTCGTGGCACTGAGAGTGGCTATTGCACCTCCAGGTGGCGGGTCCATGGTGAGGTTGGAGGAACAGAAAGGGGGAGGATACCCACCCAGGTATCTTATTAGAAGCCTCATCCAGCAAACTCTCTTACATTTCAAGTTGCAGCTACCTGTAACTGAAAAGTGGCTCCAAAAAAGGGGGTGAGAATTGGGTCAGCCAACCAAGATACCTGCCACCAGGTATACTTGGTTCCCCCATCAGGTTCTCTGTCAACAAGTACCCAAAACTGTCCCTGGTAGTAGTCACCTTCTCAGATACACTTCCTTCTTTCTTTTTGGTTTTTTTTTTCTGTCTCTTTTAACCAATGGTTCTAGCTGCTTGGATATGTATTATTCTCGCACATATATTTCTTTCTTTCTAGACAGTGCAGTCACCAGGAAGTTGGGGAGCAGGGATACATTCTATTGTCAGTGAGATGCACTTATTCAGAAGGTGTAGATTCCTGGAATAATAATGCTGGAAGAAACTTCTAGAGACCACTAGGCAATTGCTTTTTTTTTTTTTTTATGGTTAATAAACTACAGAATTTACAAACCCAAGCCTGAATGAACGGTATTACTCCACTTCATATTATCATTATTGGTATAACGTATTAGCCATGATTGATAGCAAAAATCATTGTACGTAATAAATATTGTGCTTTATTTAGAAAGATGACTTATAAGCACTGCTGTAGGCCTTCTAGATAGGGCTTTGATTTTCTAATAATACTATTAAGTTATCTAATCTATTCAAAATAGCTTGACCCGATGGCCACAATCTATGTTTTTCAGATGACTGGTATGATTAGAAATTTGGCTTATGACTAAGGCACGGGGCTGTTTTCTAGGAAAAGTTATTATCGTCGTCAATGGGTCAGCCCACAAAGTTTATTTGTCCTCGCAAACACTGCCTGAAGCACGACGCCCCCTCTGCCCGCTCTGTTCGGCAGAAGAGGAGAGCGGAAATCCCACCATGTGCTTTATACCATGACTGGCCACATTCAGGCCCCTTGAGGAGGCGGTTCTGAGGAGCTAATCTCTGGTCCTCTTCCTTCTCTGTAATCTCATCTGAACAATTTAACGCACGTCCATGGCCTCCCCCACCCCTGACAGGCAGTTGCTTTTAAAGAATCGGTTCACTGTGTGAAAGAGTAGCCCATTCTTCCCTTGACGGCCCCCACTGCTCCTTCCCTCGCTTCTTCAACTCCTCTTGAAATCAAGACCTCCACGTCCTTCGTAAAGTCTCACCTCGCCTTGCTGAAGTCTCGTTCCGTGTGTGACCTCCGTTATTAAAAACATTTGCTCTCGTCCAGGTTTATGTGCACGGCATTTGTCAACCATTCTGTATTTTCCCAATTACTAACTCCTTCCCTTTCCTTCAAGTCTTAGAAGAGGGATCTTTTCCCAAAGTGAAGCCCTTCACCTGCCCCTTTATTCCCATAATTCCATGATCTTTTGCTCTCACACACTTCCTCCGGAGCAGGAAGTCATCACCCGGAGAAGGGAGAAGGCTCAGCTGTTGTGCTGGGGGTGCTGGTCAGGAAAAGGGATCCTTCCCCAGGACTTGGCCATGGTGATGCCAGAATAATGGGAGAACAAGATAGCCAGTGGGTGACCCCTATGAGCTCTGACAGCGAGACGGGAAACTGCCACAAACCACAAGAGACCTGGGAAAGCAAGAAGGGGGTGTGGCAGGCGGAACAGTTACCCCCCAAAGATGTCTGCATCCTAATCCCTGGAACCTGTGAATATGTTACCTTACGTGGCAAAGGGACTTTGAAAATGTGATTAAGGATCTGGAGATGGGGAGATGATCCTGAGTTATTCAGGTGGGTTCAGGTGGGTCCAGGTGGGTCCAATCTAATGCCGTGAGCCCTTAAAAGCAGAGAAGCAGTCCCACCTGAAGTCAGAGAGATTCAGCTCAAGAAGAGGCAGGTGAGGGATCTGAGCCGTTGTTGCCGGCTCGAAGGGCCGACTCAGGGAATGTTCTAGGCTTCTAGGAGCTGACAGCTGCAAGGAAACAGGAACCTCTGTCCTGCAGTCACGTGGACCTGGACTCAGCCAACGAGCAGAGTGACCTGTAGGCGGACCCTCCCTAGAGCCTCCAGGTAAGGAACGCAGCCCGGCCAGCGCCTTGATTTCAGCCTTGGGCCGCCCAGAGCAGAGACACCAGCCAGGCGTGCTGGGCCTCTGACCACGGAACTGTGAGCTGATGAACTTGTGTGGTCTTGAGCCACTAAATGTGTGCCTCACAGGCAGGTGGCACAAAGCAGCTCGGGGCCTGGGCCCAGAGGGGAGTCGGCCTCCCCTGCTCCGGGACCAGTCACTCCACGCCTGCCCAGCCTGTGTCCAGGGAAGGCGACTCACACGTAAGAGGGAAAACTCTTTTTTTCTTCGGCCTTCAGTATTTCTGAACCAGTCCCAGTGCTTCTTTCTTTTATTTTGGCTGTGCTGCATGGCTTGTAGGACCCCAGTTCCCCGACCAGGGATCGAACCCGGGCTCTTGGCAGCAAAAGTGCCGAGTCCCGACCGCTGGACCCCCCCGAGAATTCCCAATACTTCTGACGCCAGATTGGGAGTGCGGGGATTTTCTCACACTGAGCAATTCTCCGACACCAGCTGTGTGTCCCACAACTCAATTCAATCCTGACCCTCTCTACCCGGAGTCCATGTCAGATGCCACGGGTGAGGGGCTCAGTCCCACAGTACGGCCGCCATCTCCACTTCAGGGTCCAGGCCTCCGGTACTTCTAACCAACTAGTTATAAATCGGGGGTTCCCATGACCCCCTCCTCAGGCTCAGTAATCTAGAATGGCTCCCAGAACCAGAAGAGCAGTTTACTTACTAGATTACCAGCTTATTATAAAAGGCTATAACTGGGGGAGAGCTGGCGAGGGCTCTCCTCCTGCCTTGCAGGTGGCTGCCTTTTTGGTGTGTCTTCACATGGGGGAGAGAGATCTTTACTATCCCTAATTTTCCCCTCATTTCCTCCACCTGCAGTATTAAAGGAAAATGCTGGTTTTCGTGTGTGTGTGTGTGTGTGTGTGTGTGTGTATTTTTTTCAGATTATACATTTAATTCAGGTGTATTAGAGAATTTTGAAAAAAATGAAACCCACTTCTAATGGTCACCCCTGATCCCTACCACCCAGGAAGGATCTCGGTTAACCTTCCATCTGTTTTTCTATGCACCCATACAAATACATGTATATTTACAAAGATGGAATCATCATGCTTCTATTATAGAGCGTCTCGCTTTCGCCACTTGGTACGGAATCATGGATACTTTCTCATGTCATCACGAGAATGACATGTCCTTTCTCATGTTCTTTGAAAACACCATAATATTCCGTCATATGGATGTCATTGTATCCCATCATATGGATAAGTCATCATGGGGATGTAATTTAGTCATTCTCTTTTGTTGAACATTTTCGAAAAAGATTTTGCCTTTTGAAAAATGGCCACAACACACCTGTCTGTACGTAAACCTTTGTTTCTTTTTTTTAATTGAGGTATAGTTGATGTACAATTTTATATAAGTTACAGGTGTATAATATAGAAAAATGTTGGTATTCTAACAATTCCATAGCTATTCTTACATTGAGCGTGTCCACCCATGGGCCTCGGGCAGCTTCCCACTCGTAGTCAGTCCCAGGTCCACCATGCGCAACCCATCCTTTCCTCCACTCCTGAACTCTTTGTAGACGTGTTCTTGCTGCCATCTTGTGGTCTTCGAGAGAATTAAACTGGCCTGTGCAGAAAGCAGGAAAGTCCTAGACAATGGTTAGCGCTTAAAGCCACTGTGGTGCAATCGCAGGAGGTTCATTTTGAGTCATGATCTATGCGATAAAGCATCTTTCAGCAAGCTATTATTTCCACATACTGTTCATTAACTGCTCACTAATAGAGAAGGAAAAGCAGACCAAAGGCTCTGAAACAACTTTTGTCTTTTAATTCGGCTTCCCCCAAGCCTAGGGACACTGGATAGATTCTACTGAAGTAATCTGTGGTATTTCTGAAATCATTCGCTGTGTCTATTAGAGAAATAAGTCTTTCCCATCGACCTCAAATTTGACCATTAGGGATTCAAGTCTTTGAGTTCTGTAGGCATTCCCACTTTTAAGAATCCCCTATTAAAATGGTAATCAGGAGATCCTAAAAAAATAAATGGAGTTTTGTTCATGAATTGGGAGATTTAACATTGTTAAGATAACAATACTACCCAAAGGGATATACAGATTAAAGATTCAGTGCAATCCCTATCAAAATCCCAACAGTATTTTTTTTTTTTTTTTTTTTACAGAAATGGGAAAACTCATCCTGGAATTCATAAGGGGTTTCAAGGGACCTAGATTTCAAAACTGGTACAAAGTGACTGTAATCAAAACAGAGTAGTATTTGCAGAAGAATAGACATATAGACCAATAGGACAGAATTGAGAGCCCAGAAATAAAGCCTTACATTTACGGTCAATTGACTTTCGACAAGGGTGCCAAGATCGTTCAATGAAGAAAAATGTTCTCTTCAACAAATGGTGCTGAGAAAACTAGATATCCACATGAAAGAATGAAGTTGGACCCCTTCTTTATACCATACACAAAAATTAAAGTGGATCAAGGACCTAAATTTTAAGAGCTAAAACTATAAAACTGTTAGAAGAAAGCCTAGAGGAAAATTTGCATGACCTTGGATTTGGCAATGGTTTCTTTTTTTTAATTAATTAATTTATTTATATTTGGCTGCATTGGGTCTCCGTTGCTGTGTGGGGGCTTTCTCTAGTTGCGGCGAGTGGGGCTACTCTTTGTTGCGGTGCGCATGCTTCTCATCGCAGTGGCTTCTCTTGTGGAGCACAGGCTCTAGGCACACAGGCTTCAGTAGTTGTGGTGAGCAGGCTCAGTAGTTGTGGCACACGGGCTTAGTTGCTCCGAGGCATGTGGAATCTTCCCGGACCAGGGCTCGAATCCGTGTCCCCTGCATTGGCAGGTGGATTCTTAACCACTGCGCCACCAGGGAAGTCCCTGTTGGGGACTTCAATGGTTTCTTAAATATGACCCCAGAAGCACAGGTAACAAAAGAAAAAGATGAATTGGACTTCATTAGATTAAAAACTTTCGTGCCTCAAAGGACAGCATCAAGAGAGTAAAAAGACAACCCACATGATGGGAGAAAATATTTGCAAATAATACATCTAATAAGGGTTTAAAATCCAGAATATATAAAGAACTCCTACAACTCAACCACAAAAATACAAAAACCCAGTTAAAAGGTGAGCAAGGGACTTGAATAGACATTTCTCTAAAGAAGATATACAAATGGCCAATATGTACATGAAAAGATGCTCAGCATCATTAGTCATTAGAGAAATGCAAATCAAAACCACAGTGAAATACCACTTCACGTCAATTAGGATGGCTATAATTTTAAAAAGAAAAAAGAATATAACAGTTGGAGAGGATGTGAAGAAATTGGAACTCATGTACATAATAGGTGTATGCCTATTTATATGCCTGTAAGTATATCCAT